GCCGCTGATGAGGATGAAGATGATGTCGACATGCAAGACGGCACCGAAGAAGAGGCTGCTGCTGCGGCACGAGCTGCGGCGGAGAGGCGAGAAGAACGCTTGCAGAGCGAAGCTATAAAGGCCCAGTCTAATGGTGCCGAATCGAGCGACACTGTAATGGGCGACGCTCCTGATGCCGCCGACAACATGGAGGTCGATGCTCAGGAAGAGGAGGAAGTCGATCCTTTGGATGCATTCATGTCAGAGCTTGTTGAGTCGGCACCTCCAAAGAAGAAGGTCGGCGCCAAGTTCTCGAAGACCAAAGAGCAGCAGCCTGAGGCTTTGTTCGGTGACGAGCATGATATTGATATGACTGCCGTCGGGGATGGGGATGCAGATGATTTCCTCGCTATTGCGAACAAGGCCAAGAAGAAGAAGGATATCCCAACCGTTGACCACAAGAAGGTCGAATATGAATCTTTCCGGAAGAAGTTCTACACAGAGCCCTCTGATCTGGCACAAATGTCGGATGAAGAGGCGGCCAGTTTGCGTCTGGAACTCGACGGGATCAAAGTCCGTGGTGTTGATGTTCCCAAGCCAGTCCAGAAATGGTCTCAATGTGGGTTGGGAGTGCAGACCCTGGACGTAATCGACAAGCTGGGATACGAGAAGACTACCTCGATCCAGGCTCAGGCCATTCCTGCGATTATGTCTGGGCGTGATGTGATCGGTGTGGCTAAGACGGGATCTGGTAAAACAATCGCCTTCTTAATTCCGATGTTCCGACACATCAAGGATCAACGGCCGTTGGACAATATGGAAGGCCCCGTTGGTCTGATCATGACGCCTACTCGTGAATTGGCCACGCAGATCCACAAGGACTGCAAGCCATTCCTCAAAGCTTTGAACCTCCGAGCCGTTTGTGCTTATGGCGGCGCTCCCATCAAAGATCAAATTGCTGATCTAAAGCGTGGTGCTGAGATCATTGTCTGCACACCGGGCCGGATGATCGACCTTTTGGCAGCAAACGCTGGTAGAGTCACTAATCTACGCCGGGTCACTTATGTGGTCCTTGACGAGGCAGACCGGATGTTCGATATGGGCTTCGAGCCACAGGTGATGAAAATCATGGCCAACATTCGCCCTGACCGGCAGACGGTGCTTTTCTCAGCTACTTTCCCTCGGAATATGGAAGCGCTGGCTCGCAAGACCCTGACAAAACCGATTGAAATTGTGGTTGGTGGCAAGAGTGTCGTCGCTCCCGAAATTACCCAGATAGTCGAAGTGCGCAACGATGACCAGAAGTTTGTGCGTTTGCTGGAACTCCTGGGTAATCTGTACTCGAGTGACGAGAATGAGGACGCACGTGCTCTTATTTTCGTTGATCGTCAGGAAGCTGCTGATGCTCTGCTTCGTGAGCTCATGCGCAAGGGTTACCCATGCATGTCCATCCACGGCGGCAAAGATCAGATTGACCGTGACTCGACCATTGAAGATTTCAAGGCTGGCATCTTCCCGGTGTTGATTGCGACATCTGTTGCCGCTCGTGGTCTGGATGTTAAGCAACTGAAGCTCGTCGTGAACTACGATGCACCGAACCATCTTGAGGATTACGTTCACCGCGCAGGACGTACGGGACGTGCCGGTAATACCGGAACAGCGGTCACATTCCTGACGGAGGACCAAGAGCGCTATTCCGTCGACATCGCTAAGGCACTGAAACAAAGTGGACAAAAGGTGCCGGAGCCGGTGCAGAAACTGGTCGATGCTTTCCTGGAAAAGGTCAAGGCCGGCAAAGAGAAGGCCAGTGCCTCTGGATTCGGTGGAAAGGGTCTGGAGCGTCTGGACCAGGAGCGTGATGCTGCTCGTATGCGTGAACGGCGCACGTACAAGACTGGTGAAGAAGGCGAGGATGAAGAAGAGAAAGAAGAGAAGAATGAGCAGGCTGAGGAGCGGTTCAACAAGGCCATCTCGTCTGTGCAATCCACGGCAGCTCCATCCCTGCCTGGTGTACCAAAGGGTATTGATCTTGATGGCAAGATTACCGTGCACAAGACCGAAAAGGATCCCAACAGCACGTCCAAGAACCCACTGGACAAGGTGGGCTCAGCCGTTGCGGATATCCACGCGCGCTTGAGTCGCGCAGGAGTGATGAGATCTGGAGTACCCATCGACAATCGCGGGCCCGATGCAGGCGCCTTCCATGCCACCTTGGAAATCAACGACTTTCCTCGTAAGTCCATCGCCCATTTTATTGAGTGTCGGATGCTAACCCCCCTACAGAAAAAGCTCGGTGGGCCGTCACCAACCGCACGAACGTGGCCAAGATTTTGGAGGCCACGGGTACATCCATCACTACAAAGGGCAGTTTCTATCCTACGGGCAAGGTGCCTGGGCCTGGCGAGAACCCCAAGTTGTATATCCTTGTTGAAGGAGAGACGGAGCTGGCCGTGACGAACGCGATGCGTGAGTTGATGCGACTGCTGAAGGAGGGCACCATCGCCGCGGCGGACAGCGACGCGCGGGCACCCGTGGGAGGCCGCTACAACGTGGTTTAGTATATCGTTGTACCATAGACATATTATCGATAGGCATTCTACCTCCAGATGATGATCTAATGTAGATATGAAATAGAAGAAGAGAACAGGGATAAGATAAGCTAAGCTGCTCTGGTATCAACAGTAAACACAAGTCTTAACAAACCGAAAAAGGCAATAATATATCCCGCTAAACCGCTCACTCACACCCATAAAAGAATCAACTCCACGCAACCAAAACCACAAACCCCCACCCTGGCACATACAGATACACAGCAGTAAAATGGAAGAACTACTGCCACCTCCTCGCCTCCGCCGCCCCATCAGCGTCCCTAGCAGCCACCTCATCCCGACTAGCCTCATTCAACGTCTGATTCTGCGTCTGCGCCTTCTGCGCCGCTAACTTGGTGCCTAGCTTCCCTTTACTCCCAGCTGCAGAAGCGGACTCGGCCCGTTTCTGTTCCATTCGTAGTTGCAACGTTAGCCTAGTAGCCCTAGTAGATAACCCCCCAAAAACATATCACTGGTAAAGGAAAGGAAGGAATACACACCTGCGCCGCCAACGCAGCTTTCGTCCTCGCATCCGCAGTCGCATCCCCATTACCTTCCCCACCAGCAGCAGGCGACCCTAACGTCCGTCCAGAGGGTCCAGAACCCCAGTTCGAGGCGGGTTTGGCGTTGGAAGGGAGCGGGGCGCGCGGGGCGGAGGAAGAGGAATCTTTTGCTGGGGGGTTCGCGGCTGAGCCGAGGACACGACCGGGGGAGGAGAAGGCGTCCGGTTGGTTGGAGGATTTGGAGCAGATGTTGCCCATTTTACTTCTTGTGTGTGACTTTGTGGTGCGGTGGTGGTTCGTGCGGGGAAGGTTTGGATGGATTGGGGTGGAGGGATGGATGGTGGGTGGGTGATTGGGTGATTGGTGGGTTTGTGTGGATAAACTTAGTGTGTTGTTGAGATTGAATAGTATTGGGCGTGGAGGTTATATGTTTGAAGGGTGTGATAGATGGTGGATAGTATGGGGAAGATAGTGAGGTTGATTGATAGGTAACAGTGATAATGATAGTGACGCGGAGGAGGATCCGGTCCGGAGGCAGCGGGCGGGCACGTGGGTAGCGTTATCCGTTAGTCGGTAATGTTAATTGTAATTGGCACATGGAGAATGGGGAACGCGGCTGTGAGGGGGAGGGGTTCATACTATCTACAAAAAAAATTCTGTTGTTCTTGTTTGAGGATACTTTTGTTTCATTCAAGTGATAGTATATGGGTTTCTGAGGATATTTTGTTTCCTTTGGATCTGCATCAATTTACTCCAAAGTCAAAAGTTCACCGATGGACAGACAAGGTTGTGGTGGTTGAAACTTTGCTGCAGTAATGCCAGTCAGGTGATGTTGTTTACAGGTATTTTTCACATTAACTAATCATTGATAACACATTTTAGGTAGTAGAGATCGAGTCCTTCCTAAAAGGTGTACCGATGTTACTCCCGTCTGGGTCAATCAAACAGTATCAACTTCAAACACACCAATATGCAGGAGGCATCATTGATGTGCACTGGATGCTGTCCCACTTCAGCCCAAGGCGGCAACGGAGTATTGCCGGGCAGAATCCGGCCAGAATTTTCTCCGCCTGGCCCCAAGGTTCTCACTCTCTTTCCTTGAGGGATCTTCAGGGTTGAAAGCACAGTCCTTGAATATCCCTTATTGAATGGTAATTGCTGATAAAAAAAAAAGTACATCTGAAGAAGACGGAAATCACTGATAAATATACAGAGAAAAATTCTGACATTGGGAGGAGTATCATTCGCTGCGGCGACCACAAACTAATGACGCCATCCCCCAAGGTCCTCGTCCCCAAGGTCCCCAAATTACCGATTAAGATCTGCCCCGTATCGCGACGGTAACCTTACCGAAAAAGAGCCCTACTGCGCTGTATCCTCTCCTCCTCCATCACCACCAACTCCACTCTTGCGCTCTCTCTACCAACTCCTACTCGCTCCCTGATTCATACTACCTCTGAACTATCCTGTTCGCCCACCATCGCCTGTCACCCGCCTCTCATGCTGGCCCCCAAGGTCCTCATCCCATCGCTTTCAGGCGGTCTGTCTTTTCTCTCTCCGACGTTTCTATCGGCTGTTCTTCACTCTTGGTGAATTCTGCGCATTGTCCAGTCGCACCACTGGCCTTCTAGCCTCCCGTTGGACGATCTCTGCATTGCCGACCTTGATTGCAGTTTGTTTGATTGGTAAGAGTATCTCTGTTTCCGCTCGCGTGGTGTGGAGGGCAAGCTAACTTGCCACTTGCGTGCTCTGCGTCAGACAAAGACAGGCACACCCCAGATCATCCTACTCCTTTCCCCCCGCCTCAGAGCTTCTCTGGCGGTTTGTCCCGTTCACCATTCCCCTCTTCAGTGTGATAATCGTTCAGCCTCGCGGTTGACTGGGGACTCTTTCGGTCTATCATCTAAGCCTGTCGATCGTTGTCGACACCATGGCTTCTCACACGAAGAAAGACGATTTCTGCCTTGAATGCCACTGGGAGGCGTTCCACCTGGATGGAAAGGAGGCAGAAGATGTCTCGGAGGCACAGCCAGTCCAATGGAATTGCTCCGACCAGGTACATCACACCCCGGTGCCGCCATGCAATGGGGATGACGACTGCAATGTCGAGGAGGACTGTTGTGATGTCGACGACTGTTCCATCACCTGCCCCTCTGTCTGCGACGGCTTCATTGAATGTGGTGATGCTGCAGTGTGCTCGGTGTCGCATTGCGACGAAGATCATTGCGAGAACACCGACCCGGTCTGCTTTGATGAACACTGCTTCGGTACGGGCACCAACATTGATGGCGAACACAGTTTGGAATCACTATTAGGGTTGGGAACTCCTCTCAATCTCGACACAACTGACCTACTATCCCCGACTTCCATGCCACAATCGCAGGTAGAGCAGCCCAAGACCATGGCACAGCCTACGGGCATGGTACCCTCTGCACCGAGTGATGCATTCTTCAACCCTTATGCACCTGCGTCTCACTGTCATTCCCACAGTCATCAGCATTTTCACTGCCATGATATATCCAAGGATGCTCACCATGCAGCAAATCCGTGGTTACCTCTGCAGAATGCAGTCAACCCGGCGGATGTGTTCCACATGATGTGCCCTGACCTGTCTGCGTGCCATCAATTTCACGTCCACGAAGTGCAGAATTGCCCTGAGCAGGACAAACCTGCCGATGATGCGGCCTCGAACTCGTTTACCTGCTTCCACATCCCTCATCATCCTCACCACCACCATCCTCCGAACGAAGTGAAGAGCCCAGCTCCGGCGCAAAAGCCAACCAATAATTGGAAGCCATGCCGCACGCATGTTCATCGGTGTCGCACGCACGGACACCATGTACATTCCTATTCACCTTACTCGCGCCACTCACGGTCCAGTGTGAGTTCCCAGTTGAGCCCGGGAGAGACGCCGCCCCCGCTGGAAGGGGGTACCTCATCCGTCTTGACCAGTCCAGAATACACTCCCGATACTGAAATATACATCTGTCGGTGGACCTCGAAAGCCGACGGGACCAGACTTCCCTGCGGCGCCACCTTTGCCGATGCATGCGGTCTGCAGGAACATCTGGTGTCGTGCCACATGGCGACCGTAGATGGCGCCAAGGGCACGGGATATTACTGCTGCTGGGAGGGGTGTCACCGGCCGGATGAGCCGTTCTCGCAAAAGTCGAAGCTGCAGGGGCATTTCCTGACTCATAGTAATTGTAGGTGCATGCGATGTCAAGGGTTCAGGACTAGAGCTGACGATGCAGATAAAAACTTCAAATGCTCTGTCTGTGGAAAGATGTTTGCGCGACAGGCAACATTGGAGCGGCACGAGCGGAGCCACCGAGGCGAGAAGCCGTACAAGTGTACCGAATGTGGAAAGTCGTTTACCGACAGCAGCGAGCTGAGTATGTGCATGCTATCTCTGAGATGAATAGACACTGACAGGATAGAAACGCATTCGCGGACGCACACGGGCGAGAAGCCGTTCAAATGCACGTACCCGGGGTGTAACTTTCAGACTGGTGATGTAAGTACAGCCAATCGGAAAGAGAAGACATCAAGCTAACAGGTTCAGTCGTCCAATATGTCCAGCCACCGATTGAGTATGTACACCGTAGATAATTTATACAGTCGATACTAACTGGACTAGCACACGGCGAGCGTCGACACAAATGCCACCATGCCGGATGCACTAAGAGCTTCACGCGACACGGTAAGCCCAAACCCCCATGTAGTCCAACAGAGATACTAACAAAGCAGACCAACTCAAACGACACTTAAGAACCACACACAAAGAAGACATCTCGCTGGGTACTCCGATGCCGGATGACTTCGGACTTGCCTTCGCCGAAGTGGCGTGAGAGCAGCACAGACGGGCACCAGGCGCAGATCAACGGGGAGGGAATATACATACATACGTGATTTCTGATACCGGACTGATGGGATTGGATATAAAACGGAGTACGACGGCGAAACAGGACAACTGAATGAGCGAGCGATTGATGACTGGTTAAAAGATCATTATGAGTGGACGACACAATACCTACTACTACTACTACTACAACCTACTACTTGGTATATATTATCCGACACGAGTTGAACCGCCCCTACCTACTAAATAGTATCATATAATCACACACATCTAATGACACACCACCACCACAACCTTCATTCAATCCCTCATTCCAACCCTAAATATCACCACCACTATCATACACACATCCCATCCCCAATACACAACCATAAACACGATATTACAAATCACTCAGCAGAAGCCCTCTCCTCCAAACTCTCCACAGCCCCCACAATCTCTCTAACCCTCGTCCCCACCCTCCTCCTCACCTCCTCGCGCACTTCATCCCCAATACTTCCCGGATCCAACCCCGTATCCACATCCACCTGTCCCTGCGGCGAATGGCTCACAAATGACATATCCCTCGTGTACACCGTATACACGGCAATGAGTTCATTCAGGGCATCCCTCGCTGACTCCCGGTCCGACGCCGCGTAGATGGTTGCTGAGTCGGTGCTTTCTGTGGCGATTTCGAATTCGTCTTTTGCGACTTCGTAGCTTTATCCCGAGTCAGCCTGTATGTTAGTATGTTTGTTTGTTTGGGTGGGAAGGAGGGGGGGAAAGGGTATACGGACAGTTCTTGGAGTTCGTCGATGATTTGGTCAGCGGGGGGTTTTGAGGATGTTGAGTATGAGGATTTGTTGGTTTTGAGTGTGGGGGTGAAGGTGAAAGTGTAGGTTCGTGAGATTGTTGATGTTGGTGTTGGTGCGGAGGTGAGTCGGGGTCGGGCGGAGGTGGTCAGGGTGCGGAGTGAGCGTGGGCGAGGGATTGAGGGCTTGTATAAAGAGCGGGAGAGATGCAATCCGCGAAGAGGAGTCCGGAGAGACATTTCGGATACGAATTGAAGATGGGAATTGGTAGTGAGGGTGGTTAATGGATGGATGAAGTGATGGTTGCTATGATGGGATGACGTCGGTTGGGGATGGACCGTGCTGACTAACCGGGGTATGCCCTTACTTTAACTAGTTAACTGGTTAACTAATAGAAGAGTTGCGTGATACATCTCTTGATTAGGTTATTGTTGTCTTCTACTCTAAATATCTTATGTAATGATGATAATGATTTTTGCCATTATTCAATTGGTTTTCTTCCATTGGGGATCGTGGTAGCCGGTGATTCAGTGGCATGGTCTGATGCTATTAGTATATCCCGGTGATTGTGATAAAGAGACAAATACTCTATCGCTGGCATCTTAGCAGAAAACAAGTGTCAAGGTAAGTATCAATAGTCATATATGTTCATGATAGCCCTAGATGAAGGATCCTGCAAGAGCTGAGTTGCAATCAGGCGTTCCTCAGGGATAACATTTCACTTGCACACAGGACATATCTAGACAAACAACTGCTTAATGACAAAGTATTGGCCTAAGCTGAATCATTGTGAAAGGACTAGCTAGTGGCGTAATGTATCCTGATAGAATATGGTTCAGTGAATAGCGCCTGCGTCCTTAGACGAGGAAGTGAAAAGGAGCTAAATACAAATGAACAAAAATTCTATTACACAACTCCACCCCATTAACACCCTCTGCCTCGAAGAAGATTACCTGCTCATGCCCTGTAGGCTTCAGCCAAGCAGTCTGTCACGTAAGAAAACTACTCTGACATGGAAATTCCGTCTGGAATCTTGCAAATACCTACAAAAAATGAACCAAGAGCAATTCGCCCTTCGATTTATAAGGACCAATAGATGACGGTTTTGAAGTAAAAGGAGCAGCCCCTTCTAGTCGCCTACATTCACCGCTACTACTATCACAGCCTTATGTTTCAGCTAAACGGCTGAAAGCACCCCCTGATCTCCTCTATATATCAATTCATGTATCCATTCACAGATGGATTCACAGATTTACCTGATTGGAATAAAGTCTTGTCCTCAACTGAATCAAATCTTATGTAAAGTCAGCTACCTCTCAACCAACCCTTTTACAATATGCGGAGAAGAGTCAAAAAACAATCAGGATACTTGGCGATATTATAGGGTACAATCATATATGGTAAACATATGAGATATTACACAGATTGAACCTCATATTTCCCCGAGGCTCTTTGTATGGAGAACTCTACAGATCGAACATATACTTTTCTTTGCTTTTTATATACCGCGCTTCTCACTACGGCATTTCAAGATGTGAATGAAAGCTCTATATTCGACTTCTGGCCTGTCTTAAGGAGACTTTACAAGCTCCCTTTTAGGCTCCTGGATGGCAGTGTCAAAGTCAGACACTCTTGTCACATTGTTGTTCTCAACATAATTTTCGATAACAGTCTTCCCGCCGATGCCTACTACGGAGAAATACAAAGCAGCAGGATTCGGTGGAAGCCCAATGCAATCTCAAGATTGCCCAAGGATGCTGAGAACTTGCAGGCAGACCCGGTTGCGCTTAGGGCCGCAACAGAGCATGTGACATAGTTATATGTGTATGAAGAGGCCACTAATACCTCTGCTCTGGTCAGAATTCTCTTGCATTTCCTTCAACTCGCCGATACAGAATGCATTGATTTACGATTTGGTCCGGAAACAAGACATCTCTTCGACGCTAGAGATTGGGACAAGCCTGTGACGAGAAGCCATTTGACAGGCAAAGATCAGGTTCTCACCTGCGAACAATTGCCAAAACTGTTACCACTGCTGCATGCTGGAACATATCTCTCCGTCTGCTTTCAGATAGACGCGATACTAAGCCGTTATCGGTCCACCAATTAGCGCGTTGACACTATATATGGAGCCTTTGCTGAATACCCCGGTGTTGAGGTGTTGTATAGCAATGCAGCGAGAACATCAGCGCCTAGACCTGACCATCTCTTGATATATCCATTCATTGTCATAACATCATGGCTATGAGGTCTGTTTATAGTCCCTTCTATTCCCGAGATGCACTTAGCAAGGATGTCGATCTGCGAAATCAGCCACTATTGCAAGGCCAAGAGATCGACTTAATTCATCCTCACCATGTTAGGGTCGCTTTTAACCCAGAACTTCCCTTTAGCCTAAAACCGCCACGGCACGCGTCCAAGCGTCATCGCAGCAGTGACCTATAAAACCCTCAAGCATGCCAGCATCTTTTCCTTATAACGTATTAACCACATCCCACCATGTGGCTCTCCACCCTCCTCGCAGCCACTCTAATATGGATCACTGCATCCTCCTCTCCTACATCGAACCACACCTACACCAACCCCATCCTCCCCGGCTGGCACTCCGACCCAACATGCGCGCACGTCCCGGAACACAACACCACCTTCTGCGCCACCTCCACCTTCATCGCCTACCCCGGCCTCCCCATCTATGCCAGTAAAGACCTGCAGAACTGGAAACTCGCCAGTAACGCCTTCAATCGGCCCTCCCAGATCCCCGATCTCCGAAACACTACAGACCAACAAGGTGGCATCTACGCCCCAACCCTGCGCTACCACAATGGCACCTTCTACCTGATCGTCACCTACCTCGGCACAGACATCCAAGGCCTCCTCTTCACCACCACCAACCCCTACAACAACTCCGCCTGGACCGACCCCCTCGTCTTCACCGTCACAGGCATCGACCCGGACATCTTCTGGGACGACGACGGTACAGTCTACGTGACATCTGCGAACAGTGGCTCCTCCAGCGGAAACCACATCCAGCAATACTCCCTCGATCTAACCACTGGGGCCACCGGCCCCATCCACAACCTCTGGAACGGCACTGGAGGCTCCAGCCCCGAGGGACCGCACATTTTCCGCAAAGACGGATACTACTACCTTATGATCGCCGAGGGAGGGACAGAACTTGGCCACTCGGAGATGATTGCTCGGTCAAGGTTCCGGACCGGGCCGTGGGAAGCTTATCCCCGGAATCCGCTGTTGACGAATCGAAATACGACGCAGTATTTTCAGACGGTCGGACATGCGGATCTGTTTCAGGACAGTGTGGGAGATTGGTGGGCTGTGGCGCTGAGTACCCGGTCTGGGCCGGCGTGGAAGAATTATCCCATGGGGAGAGAGACGGTTCTTGCGCCGGCGAGGTGGGAGGAGGGCGAGTGGCCGGTTGTGCAGCCTGTTCGGGGGGTGATGAGTGGGCCCTTGATGTCGGAGGATAGGGGGATTGCAGTTGGTGAGGGGGGTTGGGTTGATCAGCCTGATAGAGTGGATTTCGCTCCGGGATCGGCGATTCCAGCGCATTTTGTGTATTGGAGGTATCCGAAAACGGAGAATTTTGTGGTTTCACCGGAGGGGTATCCTAATACTTTAAGGCTGACTCCGTCGTTTTATAATCTGACAGGGACGCCGGAGTTCAAGCCGGACGATGGGTTGACGCTGGTTATGCGTCGGCAGACGGATACGTTGTTCACGTATGGTGTGGATATATCGTTTGATCCGGAGATGGATGGTGAGGAAGCTGGGGTTACGGTGTTTTTGACTCAGGAACAGCACATTGATATGGGTATTGTCCTGCTACAGAATGATCTGTCATTCAGGTTCCGTGTTGAAGGACGGGGTAACTACGATGGCCTTCTTCCTGGACAGACAATTTCTGTTCCAAAGGAATGGCAAGCAGACACTATAAGGCTTGAGATCCAGGCTGTCAACGACACGACCTATGCCTTTTCCGCTGCGCCATCAAGGAACCTGGGCCATAAGAGAGTCATTGGGTGGGCAGATACGAGGATTGTCAGTGGTGGCACTGGAAGATTCACTGGTAAGTTGGCCCTATACATTATCGACTTCTTTACCTTGCAGAGTTGACAGTTGTAGGCGCGCTTGTTGGTGCTTATGCTACGAAGAATGGAGGCGCTGGAAGTACACCGGCTTATATTAGTAGATGGAGATATCAAGGACAAGGGCAGGAAATTGACTATGGTCGTATATTTCCGAGCTGGACTAGGTCTGTTGCGTCGTTGGAAGATTTGTATTCTTCGTACTTAATCGGATACGTCTAGATAAGTTTCCAATCTAAGTAATTTCTGTCCCTATAATATTGACAATGCTTGGTTAGAAGTCTCAGTTAGCAAGACTTGCTTGCTGTTTGGCACCTGCCTAATGTGCTATGAATAACCAGCAGACATCTGAGTTACCAGCCACTTCACCTTCCACCCATTCCTCTGAAGAACTCCAGGTGCTGAAAATTGTCATGTCGATTACTACTGTAAATGGTAGTCCCATAGCAATTGGGAGTTATGCATACCTCTCCCAACACCCCGGCATGTCCATCCCCGGTTCTGCATCCTTCACCCTATAAGTGATCTACCCCAACATCTGCACCCCCTTGGAAAGCTTTCCGAATCGACTGGAGCTTGACAGATTTGTCCTACATTGGCGAGGACATCGTACGGCATGGTTCATAAAACCTCCACGGGTTCATTCCTTGTTTTTCGATCCTCTGGCTCACCGGAAGGCTGTCAACATGTCACAGCTGACAATAACTTCATCACCCCTAGCAAGGTCAGCTATGCATAGCAATCACTTGACACCCATTATCACTAAGAGGTGATTTCTGGCATGCGAAAGGGCACTCGTACCCTGAGGGAAGTGCTCAACGTCAGGTGCGCCCCGCATTCCTTGCACATTCTTCTTCTATACACACGGATCCCTTTCCCGAGGAAAGACATCAGGAGGAATGTTCAAGCAGACATATAAGGAGCTATATGCTACTATATTCTGTCTCTAGACAGGCAGACCCGACAGTGGCATTTAGCCAGCCGACACCATGAGATTCGTTCCTGCTGCTGCAGTGGCGCTGCCAGTATTGGCGGCGCACGCTGCGCCCCTTGCTGAGCCTACTTGCAGCAACACTGATGTGGTTATCTTGTAAGCTTCTCATACTAGATACGGCATCCAAGCTATAAACTCACATGTGTAGGGGAGCAGGTGTTGCCGGTCTTACCGCCGCAGTAAGATCTCCATGCACCGCGCTGGCTAGATCAAGCTGACAAAAGTAGCAAACCCTCTTAGACAAAGGTGTCGAGAATTTTATTGTGCTCGAAGCCAGGAATGAATCTGGTGGCCGGCTTTACAGTCGCAATTTTGCCGGGCATAAGATTGAGGTCGGCGCCAACTGGGTATGTATCATTCATCCAGTTGTTCAATAGCCGTTTCAATGCTGACCAAATAGGTTCACGGACCGGGAGGGCTGGAAACCGGAAATATCAATCCCATGTGGACTATGGTAGGTAATTATCTCTGGCCTTGACGGACTGGCTAACTTGACGTAGGTTGAACGGGCGGACTTGAAAAGAGTGTGAGACCCCCATTAGCCTAATTCGAAGCGAGGGCATACCGTTGATAAACCCCGTCAGGAAGACCAACGAGGAGGACAGGTCCGTGTATCCTAAACAAAGCGAAACAGCCGTCGTAGCCGCCCTAAAGAGCGCCAAGGTCGCCACTGATAAGGTGTTGGTTGACGCCGTCGATATCCTGAAGAATAATCGCCAGGATCGGACATTCCGAGCCGGCCAGCGCCTTCAGCACTGGGATCCGGCGAAGAATGACCCGGCTGGACAACTGGCCGATTGGTGGGCCTGGGATTGGGAGGCTGCATCTCCACCAGAAGAGAATTCGGAAGTTTTTGGCGCTATATCTACGATCGCCACCTACGAATACTTTTCAGAGGGTGACTGGTTTATCTGTGATAACGCTGGATTCGTTTCTGCATTTCGGAGAAATGTGAGCGCCGTCCTCAATGGACCGGCAGATCGTGTTCGCTTCAACAACAAAGTCACCAAGATCAAGCACAGTTCAAACGGGGTCACCGTTACCAGTGATAAGGGATGCGTCAATGCCAAATATGCTATTGTCACCTTCTCCCTAGGAGTGCTACAGAGAGGACACGTCGAATATGACCCGCCCCTGCCACCTTGGAAAGCTCAAGGCATCGCCGGCTTTGAAATAGGCACATACACCAAGATCTTCCTCAAGTTCAAGAGCAGTTTCTGGGACAAAAAGCAATTCCTTATGTGGGCAGATCCCCATGTTCGCGGCAATTACCCCGTGTTCCAGCCGTTGGATATTCCCGGGTTGTATGAGAACTCTAATATTCTTGTGGCCACGGTGACCGGAGAGCGTTCTTACCGCGTCGAGTCTCAGACGAACGAAGAGACAAAGCAGGAGCTTCTTAAGGTGCTTAAGCACATGTATGGTGAAAGGGTCTCAGAATTGGAAGAAATATACTATCCGAGATGGAGTACGGAAGATTGGTGAGAAGCCCATCCCACCCTGTGACAACAGCAAGAGCACTAACATTTGCAGGTCCTACGGATCCTACTCCTACTGGCCACCATCTACAAGCCTGCAAGAACATCAGAATCTCCGCGCCAATGTCGACAGCGTCTTCTTTGCCGGTGAAGCCACCAGCCAGGAGTTCTTTGGCTACCTGCACGGGGCCTATTACGAGGGCAAACACGTGGCCGAGTTCCTGGCACCCTGCCTCAATATGGACCCGGATGTACCATGGTGTCAAACGGCAAACTATCAGGTGCTGACAGGGGTTACGCCGTATGACTTGTATAATCCAGTCAATGGCTGGTATATTTACAATGACAAAGTACCTGGCCATGACTGAGCCTCTGATCGCCTTGAGATTAGGTAATATTATGTCTACTGGAAAATCCAGCGATAAGGCACTCTGGACTGATGGAGATCATCGAAAGATATATGTGAAGGGGTAGTATTGATTAACAATGAGGATATAGAGATCTTTCGGGTTCTTCGTCACTCGCTCTAGATAGTTACTGAACACCAGTTTAATCTATAATGCTGAGACTACCACCGATATCTACCTGACCCTCTCCAATTTATATCACCTTTCATAGAAGTCCTACATCCTGAACACATAGTCCCTCTTAGATAATTTAATACAAATGGACTCTACAACTCTCAACACAGCGGAAAAGTATCTATAGACAGCCTAGCCAGGCATAAGACAATATACATAAAATACAATCTTATACACACCAAACCAATCAAAGACCCAACCAACTCCCGACATGATCTCAATGAAAGAAATATATATAAATAAAAGTAAGAAGAAGAAGAAGTAGAAGACATCTCACGAAGCCCGACCACGCCGAACCCCCTCCCTCTCCCCCGCAACCCTAACCAACGAAACCAACCAGCTCAAAAACCCATCGACAATATACGCCGGGGGAAAGAACCTCCCCTCCCCCTCCAAATCGAACACTTCACAAGCAAACAATCCCCTCATATCCTCCAACATCCTCAAATCCCTCGTGAAGGACGCATTCCTCGGATCCGGATTCTCGATCAAACACCAGAAGACGGTGAGGATGGCGGAGAGGATGAATTGTGCGTGGATCCTACCATCACACCTTTTGTATCAGTATACTATGCATGGCTGGAAATAGTAATAATAGTTTGGAAAATGGGTGAACTCACCAAATACTAAACCGATCCACCAGCCCGCCCTTCCCTGAATTCAGGTAATATAGTAATGTCGACCTCGACGCCTGATAATACAACTCCAGACTCGAAGGAAGCGGGGCAGAGACGACAGATAAGCTAGTTGTGATGCTCGCTTCGTGCAGTTTGCGAATACAGTAGTGGTATTCGAGGTGGATGTTGATAGGGCGGATGTTGACCAGTTTATGATTACTACCTTCTTCGTTGGAGGAGGAGTAGGGTATTGTTGGATCTCGATTGTTGGGTGTGCTTGTTTCGGATCTAGGTGTGTGTGCAGGTGTAGGTGTATGTCCTAAGGGGAATTCGGCGTATAGTTCACTCAGATCCTGATCGAGTTGGCGGATGTGAGCGAGACGGCGGGCTTCAGGGAGGGATTGGGCGTGGCTGGAGTAGAGGCGGTTGTAGATGTGGGATTTGAAGATGGCGAGGCGGATGTCTGTTGGGTAGAGGAGGGGGATTTCGGTACTATTATATGATGATGTTGATGACGCTGCTAATGATGATGATGTTGATGACGCTGCTAATGATGATGATGGAGATTGTCGGGGTGGTGGGGGAGAGTGGGTGGTAGAGCCGATGTAGGTTTGGGGAAAGTCGAGGTCGACGTCGATGTCGTGGATGAGGGGTGGGGAGCAGCTGCGGATGCACATTTCTTTGTCCATGCCGTAGCAAAGCCAGAAGATGGCGCGGAGGTGGGAGTGGGATTTAGTGTTGTTGGTGGTGGTAGAGGAAGCTTGTGGTTGGTATTCTGGGGGAGGGGTGATGCGGTGGCCGTCTAGTTGGTAGAGAATGCGGATGGCGGTTGAGAGGAGGAGTTGGGCTTGTTGGGGATAGCCTGCTGGGGCGATGTGTAGGGCCTATCTGAGTTAGAATATGGGAGATATGGTAAACAAGAAAGAAAAGATACCAATATGACAAATGTTTCTAGTTTCCACACACTAGCTAGCTCAAGCATGAGCTTAGGTACTAGTGTCAGTACGGCCTGCACGTAAGCTTCCGGGTCTGTACCTGCAAACTGCGGCTGGTGTTGATGCTGCTTGGTGATAAAGGCTGCGAAGGCGAAGAGATGTGCCTTTTCCGCCGTGGTAGGCGGGGGATCTGTGCGGCCAGAGACGAGGGCATCAAGGACAGCCTGGGAAGCAGGTACATTTACAACAGGAAACATGGAGTACAAGCTCTTGGCGGCGTAGTAGTCGAGACACTTCTGGATCAGTGCGTAGCTGGGCCACTGGGGAGTAGAGATTGCTGGCGAGATGGAAGCATACTGGGCCTTGTAGGACTCTGTCACACGGGCTAAGAAGCCGTGCAAGTCCAAGACAGCGCCGGTTTGGCGGTAGACAGTAGCATGGAATGAGTTACGCTGAGGAGAGTTAGTAGTGCCTGGCCAGGAAATTTCCAGATGCTGTTTGAAGATTTCCATGGCTATGTCGAAATCCGACGAGTCCTGGGGATGCGATGGCGCGGCAAAGAGCGACATGGGCGGACATGGTGAGGCAAATCGCAGTTGATCCTGCAACTGGATGATTGGTGAAACTGCTCCTGGCAGAGGACGGCCGGCAATGAAGCTTTCCAATTCTTGTACACGAGCCTTGGCTTCAGCAAGTTGTCTGTGAGAATTGGTGATAATGTTACAGTTAATTTACCACTGGGAATAGCAGTAATGTTACTAGATTTGCCACAAGGAACATACTCTCTAATAGTCTTCCTGGGTTGACCAGTCACGGTAAACGTGCAGGTAACACCAGCAAAATGACAATTCTCACATGCTGGTTTCTCTCCATCACATCGAATCTAACCCGTATCAGTGATAAGCCCGTACTAAGTAAAGGGTATAGGGTAGCACCTTTTTATGCCGGCACAGGTCACATGCACTCCTGGCCCTCCCGCCACGTTGGGCCACAATATCGAGGATATCTGCATCCATGCTGACAGACTGCATGAATCAATTGACACTGGATGATGCTAATTAAGCGGGAATGAGATTCCCCGGCGGGAAATGCATGATTAAGACCCTTCAGGGTCCAGGAGAACTTTATCGCTGCCTAGAGGCTTAGTCATCTGCGTGCGTGGCCTGGCGGTCCCACTTGGGCGGGATTCCGCCGAGCCCAGACCAGCCCGGAAGCTTGCTTAATTTATGCATAAATAGTGAGGGTATAGAGATAGGTGAGTGGAAAATGATTGATTCATTGTCCTTGATATAGTCAGTATTCAGTTGCATTTACTTCTGTCCATATGAGTGTAATGCTTGGGGTATCAGCAAACAAACAGCTACCGATCATACAAATCTACCGACGATACTAGCGTTTCACTTTAAATCTAACCTAAATGTGACCAAAATTGGGCTATCCGCCTTGCTATTGCCGTTCTATCCGGTACTCGCACCCATTGCAGCATGCTCGTATAGCATGCTGGCTGATACAGCTAGGTTGTCGATGCAGCGTGCCTACCAAACAGTGCAGGAACACACAGGCATCCCCTTCGTTTCTGCCACTCTTTTGCATCTTTAGACACTACTGAATTTAACATAAAATGAAATGATCGATTCAAGTCACCAAGACCTTCTTCTCTTTCTGCATCTTCTTTAGTTATGCATCGTCTATTTAGAAGACGTTGAAACGCTCCAGGTCGGAGCGAACGTGGCAGTCGAGAAGTTAGGGCTACGGTAGTCACGGCACGAGGCTGACGGGAACGTGCATAACCCTAACTCGCATACCAAGAGGTAGACACCGATATAATCCTATAGTAGTTCTATACCAGCGACTGCTTGTTATTATTATTATCTATCGGCAAATAAAACATAAGCGACTGCTCTTATGGCACAGTTCGAGCACTGTAAGCAAAACCCACAGATTCTAGTATACCCAATGCAGAGAACTACCTATCACAACCAACTCATAGTGCACTTTAGGAAATATATCCTCCAGATGCATAGTAGTAGTAAGTAACCACTTGACTACTTGGCAAAATACTACTAGAATTCTAAGCCAGTTCAGGACGTGTATCAATAATAAGCTAATTGAGTATATCGTTAACATGGTTCCCACACCACCAGTCTATTCTAATCATTCCTCAACCCTACATAACCCCCCAACCCAAAAATCCCAAAGCCAACAACAACTAAGTAGTAAACTTCAACCCGCCATTAGCACAAACCACACTCCCCGTACACCACGCCCCATCCTCCGTACAAAGCATCCCCACAACCCCGGCAATCTCCCTCGTAAACGCAGGCCTCCTACCCCCCATCTTCTCCCGAATCAACCTCTCCTGCTCCTCACTCAACCCCTCCTCCCCATCCTGCAACTTACTCAACGGCGCATTATCCTGAAACCCCTGCATCTGCTTCCAAAACTCCTCACCCGTAGCAAAATACATATCCCCGACCACGGGACCCGGATTCACCGCATTCACCGTCGCCACATCCGCCAACTCCCTCGCCCAGGTCCTCGTCATCGCCTCCAACGCCGCCTTGGTACCCCCATACACCGACTGGCCCGTGAACCCCAACGAGGAGGAAATACTCGAGATGTTGATAATGCGGCCGCTGTGCGCGGGCTTGCGGGGGAGGTACTCGGCGCAGGCTTGCGTGAGGAGCAGCGGGGCGAGCACGTTAATGGTGTAGTGCCAGTTGAAGTAGGCGGGGTCGATGGGGCCCGAGGAGGGGTCGTTGAGGAAGCGGTCTTTGCTGACGCCGGCGTTGTTGATTAGGATGTCGATTGTTAGGGTACCTGTGGTTGGGGAGGTGAAGTGGGTTTTGGCGGCGGAGATGATGGTGCTGATGGCGGGGGTGGGGTCGGAGAGGTCGGCTTGCACGGGGATGCAGGTTATGTTGTGTGTGGTGGAGAGGGTGCTGCAGAGGGATTCGGTGCGTGCGCGGGAGCTGTCTGAGGTGTAGTTTAGGAGGAGGGAGCAGCCTTTGCTGGCGAGGTTGTGGGCGATGGCTTCGCCGATTCCTGGGGGATGTTAGTGGGGTGGTGGAGAGGGTATGGGGGATGGGGATGGGGATGGGGTACCGCGGGAGCCACCGGTGACGATGGCGAATTTGCCTTCGAGGGAACGGGACATGTTGGTTGATGTAGATGTACTGTTGTGTAGTATCTCTGAAACAGAAGTAAAATGTACAAGAATGATCGTTGGGGAATTCAATTTATACTTAAGTTTCAGAGAAACTGTAACTCGGGTAAATGGCCACCGGGAAATTACCTCATTGGTGCTCCGGCGGCACCAAGGTTAAGATGTGCTATTAAGTAGGTTTGATCTACATAGTGATTGAAAGTTAACATATACCCTAAATTCAGTTCAACTATACTACAATTTACTAACTACACTCTTCAACAACCCCAACAAAGTCTCCCCTACACTCTCCGCAAATTCCCTACAATTTACATCCCCCTGGCACCTCACAACCCTCACCCCGGACCCCTCCAACCCCTTCTCCACCGTCCCAAACAACGCCTCATCCGCCTTCCCATCATAGAAATCATTCCCCGGAACATCCATCATACTGATTCCCCCCGTCGGCAACATAACCACCACGTTCTCCGGACACCTCGCCTTCCCCAACTTCCCCACAATAAACTCCCCGATCCGTCGATTCTCCTCCTCATCCGTCCTCACAATCGTCACTGTCGGATTATGCTCATAGATCCTCCTCCCGCTGAACCGCTCGGGAATTGTATCCTTCGTCCCAAAATTAATCATATCGCACGCCCCCACACTCACCACCTGCGGGATGCCCCTCTCCGCCGCGGCGTCCAACCGTCCCGGTCCGGCGGACAATACACCGCCGGCGAGCTCGTCCACGATCTCGGAGGTGGTCAGGTCCACGACGGCATCGAGCTGTTGTTCGCGGATTAGTCGCTCCATGGCTTTTCCGCCGGAGCCGGTGGCGTGGAAGACGTAGATTTCGCATGCATTCGGGAGGTGGGATTCCAGGTAGGTGCGGATTTGGGTTACGGCGGGTGTGGTCACGCCGAACATTGTGATACCGATTTTGGTTTTCGTGGGTGTTTCCTGCTTCGACCCATTTTGCTTGTGGAGCCCATTTTGGGTGTGTCCGTTCGTGCTATTAGACTCGGAGGTATGAAGCTGATCATGGTATGATATCGCCATTCCGGTTCCTGCGGCTGCCGCGTTGCGGAGGATTCTGTTCAGAATGCTGTTTGTGCCGGCTACGTCGACGACACTGTACATCATGGTGATGTCTGTTTCTTGGATGTAGGGACCCACGTCGCCGGAGGCCATGGTGGAGACCATCAGTTTTGGGAATCCGATGGGAAGGGCATCGCGCATGATGGTGGTTGCGATGGTGGTGCCGCAGCTGCCGCCGATGGAGAGGATGGTGTGGAATTTGCCATTGTGGTAGAGGTCGGCGACGGTGGGGGTGGAGAGATGGGTGATGGATTGGATGTAGTCGTTTCGGGGGAGTTGGGTGTAGTCGATTGTTTTGTTGTCAAGGCTGGGATGAGGAATGTTGATGAGCGGAGAGGAGGTGGCGGCGCGGCCAACGTCCATGAGAAGGACAGAGATGGAGGGGTTAGAGGTTAGTTGGGAGTGGAGGTAGAGTAGTTCGGACCATTTTGTATCGCAGGTGCCGAGGAGGAGGATGGTTGGCATGTTGCAGTATACTATTACTATGATTGTTGTAGATATGGGAGGTGTTGTAGAGAAGACGATGTTACTACTATTCAATGGGAATGGGGTTTATAACGTTGAAGAGGGGCATGTTACACTGTGGCTGGTCGCAGGCAGCTGAGGAACTGATCGGCTTTGCGCTGCACCGTCATGTCGGAGACTACTATCGTGCGTAATACCGACTGGGACTTGTCGCAGGAACTTTAAAAAACCTCGAGGCGAGATAAAATAAATTAATCACGCAGAAGAGAGGAGTCTCAGTTGCAGATAAAAGCACGCCGGTGCAGACTAGTTAGGGTTAGCCGTGGGTCAAATCCCGGACGATCCTCAGCTGAAGTGGTTACCAGGACTAAAAGTACCACTCATCCGCCACCAAAATGGATACTTGACTATCAATTATGCGGTAACCGCCTGATCCACTGATGATTTGGCATACCCCCTCTTACCCCTCCTTCGGAGATACAGTCACACTATCACGGGGATGTTTGTTTCCGACATTCTTTCATTCGTCATAATTCCGACTTTTGTAGGTCGGAGGTTATTTAAGGCCCATCCTCAACTGTCCTCCACTACTAGCCCTCGACTTAGTATATAACATACTACTCTCCTTATCCCTACTACAACACCCACCCTACATAAGTACTCCAACATACACACATACACAATAACATCACCATGCCCCGCCCAATCACCCGACAAGAAGTCCTCGACCGTCTTCGCAAAACCATAGCAGATGGTTCCATCATCATCGGTGCGGGAGCCGGTAAGTACCCATCCATCCCTCCAATGCCATACCATCCTCACCCATCTTCCCAATCACCAACATCAACATCAACACCACTAACCACAACAATGACATAAAACACAGGAATCGGCCTCTCCGCCAAATTCATCGAAAAAGGCGGCGCCGATCTAATCCTAGTCTACAACTCGGGCCGATTCCGCATGGCAGGCCGAGGCTCTCTCGCAGGCATGATGCCCTATTCAGACGCCAACGCCGTGGTGGTCGAAATGGTACATACCCTCCCTCACCCTCCCGCTCTCCCTTCCCTCCTACCACCAATACTAACCAAGAGAACAGTCCAACGAAGTCCTCCCCCTCATCCAAAACACCCCGGTCCTCGCGGGCGTCTGCGGCACCGACCCCTTCCGAGACATGCGGACCTTCCTGCGCCAACTACGGGACATCGGGTTCGTGGGGGTGCAGAACTTCCCGACAGTCGGTCTGATCGATGGGAACTTCCGCGCGAATCTGGAAGAGACGGGGATGGGATATGAGAAGGAAGTGGAGATGATTCGCATCGCTAGGGAGATGGATCTGGTGACGACGCCGTACGTGTTCAATGTGAAGGAAGGAGAGATGATGGCGCGCGCGGGCGCGGATGTGATTGTGGTGCATGTGGGATTGACGACGAGTGGGACGATTGGGGCGCAGACGGCGTTGACGTTGGATGAGTGTGTCAAGGTGGTGCAGGAGGTGCGGGATGCGGTGGTGAAGGTGAATCCGGAGGTGATTGTGTTGTGTCATGGGGGGCCGTTGGCGGGGCCGGAGGATGCGGAGTATGTGTTGAAGAGGTGTAAGGGTGTGCATGGGTTCTTTGGGGCGAGTAGTATGGAGAGGTTGCCTGTTGAGGTGGCGTTGGAGGAGAATGCGAGGAAGTTTAAGGAGATTCAGTTGTAAGTATATCTAGTTGTGGGGAGGGGGAGGTATTTTGGTAAACTACTGTAGTAGGAATATGATGTATTCAATTATCTGGTATCTTCTGTTGAACAATTACTCCACAACCACCAATGCAACCCTAGCCATACCCAGCCACTTTTATTTGCCGTTGAAGACAATGCTTTTGAGCCCCATGTTGATAAAGAACCCTGTATATGTCGTCGTAACATCGTGAATGTTGAAGTCTAGCAGTAGGATTTCGACATCTAGTAGCGGTAGCTATTTCTCTTAGTCAGTAGCTGCCAATATATTAAATTTTTGGATATAGGAGGGCTTACTGGTCAGCCTTGAAAGGTCCGGTGACCTCCAGGCCAAGGTACTCAGCCTGGACGGGGGTGAGCTGAGACAGCTTGGCGTTGACGTGCTCCAAGTGCTGGAGAGCGACCTGCTCATCGAGAGCCTTGGGGAGAACGTAGACACCGACGGGCTTCTTGCCGGTGGTACCGAACTCGACGTACTTCTTGCCGAACTCGGCGTCCTCAGCCTTGAACAGAGCAATCTGGGCAAGGACCTGGTTGGAGAAAGAGCAGGACATGACGAAGGAAGAGTGGCCGGTGGCACAGCCAAGGTTGACGAGACGACCCTCGGCCAACAGGATGATGTGGCGGCCGTTGGCCATGGTGTAGCGGTCAACCTGGGGCTTGATGTTCTGGACCGACTTGGCGTTGGCCTTGAGCCAGGCAACGTCGATCTCAATGTCGAAGTGACCGATGTCTGCGCAGTTAGCTTGATTCAAAAGATCATGATAGAAGGGACGTACTGCAAACAATGGCGTCGTTGCGCATCACCTCAAAGTGACGGCCGACGAGGATGTCACGGCAACCAGTGGTGGTGACGAAGATCTGACCCTGGGGAGCAGCCTCCTCCATGGTGGTGACCTGGTAGCCCTGGACGGCAGCCTGGAGGGCGTTGATGGGGTCGATCTCGGTGACCAGGACGCGGGCACCCATGCTGCGGAGAGCATCGGCACAGCCCTTGCCGACATCACCGTAACCAGCGACAACGGCAACCTTACCAGCGATCATGACATCGGTGGCGCGCTTGATACCATCGATGAGGGACTCACGGCAACCGTACAGGTTGTCGAACTTGGACTTGGTGACGGAGTCGTTGACGTTGATGGCGGGGACAAGGAGCTTGCCCTCCTTGAGCATGCGGTAGAGGTGGTGGACACCAGTGGTGGTCTCCTCGGACAGACCGTAGCAGTCCTTGAGCTGCTCGGGGTACTTCTCGTGAACGAGGGAGGTCAGGTCACCACCGTCGTCGAGGATGAGGTTGAGCTTCTTGCCATCCTTGAAGGCGGAGAGCTGCTGGTCCAAGCACCAGTTGTACTCCTCCTCGGTCTCACCCTTCCAGGCGAAGCTATCAATTATTAGATCGAGCCGATAGATTGGTATACAGTTTTGACTTACACAGGGACACCGGCAGCGGCAATGGCGGCAGCGGCGTGGTCCTGGGTGGAGAAGATGTTGCAGCTGGTCCAGGTGACCTCGGCACCGAGGGCAACGAGGGTCTCGATGAGGACGGCAGTCTGGATGGCTGCAAGGGATTAGAAAGGTTTCAAAGTAGAAAAATGTCAGGCCGACATACTCATGTGCAGGCAACCGGCGATACGGGCACCCTTGAGGGGCTGGTCGGGACCATATCTGCGGCGGATGGACATGAGACCGGGCATCTCAATCTCGGCGAGCTCGATCTCGCGGCGGCCAAAGGCAGCCAGGGACTAGAGGCATGAATGAGAATTGCGATCATGGTAGAATGGTATAACGGGGAACGTACGATGTCGGCGACCTTGAACTTCTGGGCGGGGGCAGCCATGGTTGTGTGTGGTGAAGATACTAGAGAGGCAATGGTTAGAATCAGTCAAGTTGACGGTGAGAAGAATGAGAAAAATGGAGAGATATGGCTTACAGAAGAAAAGGGGGAGGGTAAGTGAGGAAAGATGGAGAGTGAAAGGGAGTAAGAGTAGAGGGGGAAGAAGAGAAATAAAAGGGCGGAGAGAGAGAGCGAGAGAGGGGAAGAAAGAGTGAAGGATTCAAACGGAGCAAAGCTCGGCCGGCGGGGCTGATGCGGTCGGACTTTCTATGCTTCCGGACTGCGTGCTGACGGTGCCTCTCCTGATTGCTGCCGTTGGTCCATCCCCTCGGTCTCGGAACTTAACCTGAAGACTAACCATCTGCCTCATAACTAGTTAACTATTAACCGACTAACTACAGCTGGAGGATGACTATTGTCCTCCGGTATCCATCGCGACCGGCGGATCCCACTGGCCCCAAATCTTGGGGGTGCCGACCATCGGATTTTGGACATTCCTCTCAGTGCATCTGGCCCCCTCTTACCTAAGGCCGTCAGCAAGGGATGCCACGTCGAAGCAGCCATAACTAGTGAATGCGATCAAAGAAACAAAAACAAACTCTTTGGGCATGAAGATAATGCATGAGCAATTAAGGCATCAAAAGATTGAAAGATCAACGAGTCAAATCCCGAGTATCTATCCCTCGCCATATCGATAGCAGATCGTGCTGTGTAGCACCGGACCATCCGCAGCCATGCACGAGCTTCAATCCAAGTAATCCCCTCTGCAGATCCCTCACAGAATGCAGCTACCCTGCTAGCCAGTCAACCAAGGTCCCTCCCAATCTTACCTAGGCCTATCGTAGCAAGGGGCACTCTCTCTGGTAGACATCCACCACCGCCAACATCCACTAGCAACTAGCCACCAACTAGAAACTAGCTATACCACGATGAAAACCGCCCTAGTCACCCTCTACTCCTGCCTCGGGTTGGGTGTGCCCGCCCTGGCTGCCCTCATGGAAATCATGTTGAGCAATTCCACCTCGTGCCAGATCCGTGGTGGGGATGACATTGCGAATCTTGCCTGTCGGAATACGGTATGCTGGTCTTGGTCGTATGCCGGGGAGAATAGGCTAACCCAAGGTGCAGTGTATTGAACAGGGTGGTGGGTGGACTGGAGGGTTCTGTGATGATCAGCAGTAGGTATCATCCAGCTTTGTGAGTATGGAAGCTAACGAAGGACCTAGGATCTGTCATTGTACGTTTGATATTTCTACTAGGAAGTAGATGAACGCAGAAAGCAAGGCTATGGATGGGAGTAAGCAGGTGGAAGCATCATGTCATGTCTGTCATAAGAATTATGTTCAATTAATCAACACTGTCATTGTCCCAATTTGACCAATCAAACACCGTCATTAAATCGGTAAAAGTTCATCCATCTCTGCACCATTATCAGTGTCCATCCAATACATCACAGAATCCCAGGTATAAACCTACCTTATCATACGGCCGGGACGAGTCTGCAAACCGCAAATCCGTCGCCAAACGGATCACTCTATCCGGGTCATTGTTCACTGTCGATGCGTGGATCTAATCCCATCAGCACTATCCACAGGCTCCTAATAAGATGTTGCTTACCATGTGAGGCTTATGCAGCACCACATCCCCCGCCTCGTATTCCGCAACCAACCAACGCCGGCCATTCTCCTTGGCAAATTCGGCGGGATTCTCCGACAACATGCCCGTGGACATCATATTCGAGTTGAAGGCATATTTAGCCTCTTCCTCCGTCATGCCCGCTGCCAGAGCCTTGGCTGTGAATTCGTTCTCAATCTTCTGGCCCACGACATCACCTGTCCTCGTCAGCATCCCCACATCATACAATGCGGATGGAAGACATACTATCCTCCAAATAAATCAACCCCCCACCACTCAGCTTAATATCCCCAATAGGCACCCAAGCCGTCACAGCCGTGGGCTCCCCATGTCTGATAAAGATCTGATCATAATGAACCCCAATAGGCTTCGTCTGAGGGATATTATTCCTCAATAGCGTCCGCTTAAAGGTCAACGTATTGTCCCCCCACCCCGTGAACTTGGCAATAAAGGCATATAGCGCCGGATGCTGGACCAGCTTCTCGGCATACCAGTCCTTGTAGTGAGCCTCGATGGCGCGATCGACGAACTGTGCGGCGCTCTCCCCGCCCGGCCGGCCGTTACCACCAGCCGCACCAGCCCCGATGCCGGGAAAGTCGTCGGGGGTCTTGTCGGGGTTGAAGATGCCGTGGACGGGGTCGCTGTCTGTCTTCAGGACGCCGGTGGGGGCGAGGTAAGAGAAGTATTGGCGGCGGGCTTCGAGGACGTCTTCGCGGGGGAGGACTCCTTTGAGGAAGAGGTAGCCGTCGGCGTTGAAGCGGGCGCGGAGCTCGTCGAGGGGGAGGTTAGGGTCGGAGGGGCGAAGGAGGGCAGCGTTTTCGGAGGTGAGGGGGCCGTCGCTGACGGCGAGGGTTTGGGTGAGGACGCCAGGCATTTTGTAGTATGTACTACTTAGTAGTGTGGTATTGGTTGAACTATCTGGTTGAACTGATGGGAGGGGAGAGGAACTGGGGTATAGGGTTATTTATATATATTTTATATCTATCCGGGGTATGTGTCGTGACGTATCCTAATCCTAAATCTGGAGAATAGGGATCTGCCCCGCGTTGAGGGACGTTCCATGCAGCAAAGCCATGACTGTTGACACTTGACAAGTTGATCGGCTGCAATATGAATGGGGATGTTACAATCAGCAGATTGGAGATTGGCGAACAATAATCCAGTGGAACTTCCCCCCTCCCCACCTCCGCGTGGAATGATACTCTTCTGGAAACGCCACAATGCGCGGGTGGGGAATCCACTATGCGGGCAATGCTGCCCTTTTGGCTGTCCAGTCTGGATTCAGTAGTATTTTCCGGTCAGCAAATGTTGCAAGCGAGAATTTCATTGCTGATCTTTTTTGAAATCAAGGGTATAACTCTTCACAAGATACATGCAGTATTAACAATTAGCAATCGAACACCCAATCAATGATATGATAAGATCAAGCTATTCATCCACCCACTCCCCAAACTCCCATCCCCAATTCCCTTCTTCATCCTCCCCCACCACCAACTTCAACGTCGTGAACTCAATTCGTTCATACATTTCCCTCGCCGCCCCACGTGCTCGTCGATGCCATGGTCCCGACCCTCCTTTTCTTGCATCTTCCCGACTGCGCCATACACCTATCATTCACTCGTTAGTAGCACATCCTCCATCCTCACAAACATTTTTTTTAAGTAAACTCTAAAGTAAAAAAAAAAAAGAGGGTAGAGAACTCACAAGTAGCTAACCCCCTCCTCTCCCCATCCACATTCCCAAACCAATACTTTAACAACCCACCCCCCGCCACCGCCTCCCGTAAAGACATCTCATCCAACACATGCAACTTCTCCCCATCTGCATCGGCCGTCAACGTCGACCGGAATACAACCACATAGAATACATTCTCGTGTCTCTTGCCCCAAGTATATCCCTCGCTTTTCGCTTGTTTCCTTAGAAACCCAAAGACACTGTCCCAGTTGAAGGACTCGGTGTAGGGCGCTGTGGCGTAGTTGGGACGAATGGGGTGGAATAGGGTCAGCGCTTTGGCGAGGAGTTGGGAGGCCGGGTTGAGGGTCTGAAGGTCGAGGAGGTGGTGTGGGGTGTTGTAAGGGGAGATGATGAGGTTGGTGTCTGAAGGTGGTGGTATTAGGGATGAATCATTGGGGATTGTTGGGTTGAGACGAAGTTGGAGGGATGCAGCGGCTTGGAATTTGAAGGCTTCGGGGTTGGTGGTTAGGAGGGTGTGGTGGTTGAGGAGGATGTTGGTAGGTGGTGGTGGTGATGGTTTGAGCCGTTGATGTTGAGTTTCGGGGGTGGAGGGACGTGGTGAGGTTATGCTGGGGGACATTGTTCTAGTAGTATTGTCTAGGGCTGGTGGTCTATGATGGTAGTAGTGTAAAATAATAGTATGGGGTGGTGTATAGGGGTGTATGTATGTAGGAACAAAAATGGTGGAAGGTGATGCTAAAGACTGACAATAAGTGCGACTAATATAAGGCGAGAAGAATTAAAAAGACAAGAAAGAAGAATGATGGGATGAATGTCGCCATTTAAAGAAAACAGAAAGAAATGAAACCCGACAATAGAGAAGCTGCTCATACAGATCCACCCGATCCAACCTTCACTCGATAAAATCCAAGATCGATCAGATCACCCTCAAAGCACGCAATATGCCGACACTTGAGTCGGTCAGCCGGAATGTTGCACTGCTCGTTGGATGATCAAATCTTGAGAGCCCGGGTGCCTGGATGATCATCGGCTACTAATTTTATGCTTATCATCGGATCCCCGGGTGCGACATGCAACTGGTCTGCACTACAAGATCTCCGGTGGTTGGTTAGGGCTCTATAATATGTTGCCTAGGTACAATAACTACAAGTGCTAGGGGACGGTGGTCAGCCGGTGTGCCAAATGGAGAATAAAGAAAAGTGCTATGAAACACTGCTCGGCGCAACCCCCAGCAGAATTGAGTTCCTGCCCGTTATTGTCACATTCAAGACAATAGCACGACATATCTTCCGGGCTTGCGCCATCAGGGTGTGTGGGCTGGGCTTTGCCTATCCCCAGCCCGAGAAATTTCACCATCCCGTCTGGAACCATGGCTAGGTGTCCACTGGTTCGCATGGAATTCGGCAACCTTGCACAGTACCGTCCACTGATGACCAAAGAAGCTAAACCATAATTAAGCAACTGGTATTTTTGTTTAATCCTATCATACAGTTCTTGATGGTATCATGCAAATCCCACGTTATAACGCCTTGTGAATGCTCGTAATCCTGAAAAACACAATGACCCCCTTTACTGCTTCACCGGCGGCGGTGGCGGTGCCATCTTACCCTCGCCTGTATCGACCTTCTTCTTCGGAGGCAATGCCGGAACCTTAAAACCTCCATTCCCCCCTTGAGGCGCTGTGCTGCTCTGGCCACCAACTTGCGTGAATGTGCCAGATTTGAACCACCGATCCTCCTCGGCCTTGCGTTTCCGACTCAACTCAGCTTGTACCTTAGGATCCACCAACTCCAATCCTTGCACGGGCGTGAAGGCAATAGTACTGGCAGTACCGGCTGATCCTCCCAGCGAGGTGCCAACTCCAGAGGTCCGCAACCCCTTCGCCTGAAGCACACTGGCCGTTCCACTAGCATTGGAGCCGAATGCACGGAGAGATGTAGATGTGCCACTGACGGGGGTTGCGGTACCCCATCCCTTGTTGTTTTTGCTAAGCTTCGCTCGGGTTCTTTGGTCGATCTGAGTCGCGCGGATCCGCCCATCATTCTGTTGGCCAAGCATGCCCAGTCCGACTGTTCCCTCTCCGGTACCATATCCGACTTCTGCCTCCTCCCTACCAAAGGCAACCCGGTTCTGGGCTTTGCGGAGTTCCGTCATGGCAACAGCTTCCTTTGCCTTTCTCGCCCGTCGTCCACCTCGCTTACGGGACGGCTTGTCGTCCGGAGCGGGGAGCGCCTTCACGCCCGAGTTCGGCGCGGGTTCCGTAAGCTTTTCCAGACGCTGGAAACATTGCTGCTTCAGCTCTTCGCCGAGCGATCCGTCAGGACTGTACTTGGAGACGTCCGCTCGCGTAGCAAGGACCATCTTGGCAGAGACGATGCGAATGGCCTGCCGCTTAAGGTCGTTCGGGACACCTTGTATAATCGGCGAGTTGTACAGAAATCCCTGAGAGCGAATACCAATATTTGTAGCAAATCCCAGTCCCTCCGACCGCTTCGAGCCCTGTGCAGCTAGGTTGCACGCGGGGATCTTCGCTAGCTCAAGCAGACCTCCGGTCTGGTTCAAGAACTGAGCCGCTGTCTCCGGTCCGATCAAAGCCGCCAAGTTGGGAGCAATCTGGCTCATTCGCGACTGGATGCTCTCTGTAAGTGCCGTACGTTCGCGATCGAGCTTCAGGATCCGTTCGCATGTATCCATCACGGTCTTGAGTTCAGACTCGGTCATCTCCCGGCCTCGGGTGGTGGTACCCTCCACGGCCACAACCATCAGGGAAGGCCCATCCAAGATCGACCTCAGTGGCACGCCAACCATGTTATCTGGCGAGGTCGACAGAGCCTTGATATCGTTGAGCGGGCCATTTTTCAGAATAGCGACAGTTTTCGCGTAGTCGATCGGGGTAGTCACGAGCGTCTCGAGCTCAGGAAATCGAATAGAGTAGTGATCGCGCAGCACTTTGTGTAGACGAGTCAGTTCGTCGGCGGTCGACAAGGCAACGTCAAACTCGTTGGTGAGCTCAGGCGCTTGCGCCAGCTGCTCCTCATCGACAGCTTCCTCTTCGAGGCCATCACCAGCCTGAAGATCCTCGTCGTCCTCCTCAAAATCTCTCAAGAGATCCTCCGCATTTGACATGATGGGTATTCGGCAGCGTGACCAGCAGACAAGCTGTGTAGGTCCGCAAAGTAGAAGCAAGGCCGCGTAGATGAGATGCAGGTGAAGTTCGAGGTTTGGGTTCGCCGCCACACGGACTGGGCTTTGCAGGCCGGAGCTGAGTCAGCAACGCGGTGGCTGGGGGTGGCGCAAGAGACCAACACCGCAGCTTGTCCGACTTTGGATCGCAGCATTCATTCGGAATCTGGAATCAGCATCAACCTCGACTACCGCCCGGTAGCCAGCACAACGCCTTTGATTTGGGGTTTCTGGACGTGTTCTCAGTCGAGCCGGCTTTGTTTTAGCCCTACGCGCACGCCAGAACTCTCGGTGGCCTTGTCCGGCTTGATCTATACCTCATTTACCGATCGATTATCCTCGCATAAACTATACCACGATGGAGTCGTCACGCGGCCCTCCCAGGGTCAAGAACAAGGCCGCGGCGCCCGTCCAGATCTCAGCGGAGCAGCTGCTTCGCGAGGCCGTGGACCGGCAGGAGCCCGCATTGCAGGCGCCGACGCAGCGCTTTGCCGACCTGGAAGAATTGCACGAATATCAGGGCCGCAAGCGAAAAGAATTCGAAGACTATGTGCGTCGGAACCGAATTAACATGAACAATTGGATGCGCTATGCGGCATGGGAGCTAGAGCAAAAGGAGTTCCGCCGGGCGCGCTCAATCTTTGAACGGGCGCTGGACGTCAGCCCGACCTCGGTGGTTCTGTGGATTCGGTACATTGAGTCGGAGATGCGGAATCGCAACATCAACCATGCCAGGAACTTACTCGACCGTGCGGTGACGATCTTGCCTCGGGTGGATAAGCTGTGGTACAAGTATGTCTACATGGAGGAGACGCTGGGCAACATTGCGGGCACACGGCAGGTCTTTGAGCGGTGGATGTCTTGGGAGCCGGAAGAGGGAGCTTGGAGCGCCTATATCAAGCTGGAAAAGCGGTACAATGAGTTCGAGAGGGCGCGCGCGATCTTCCAGCGGTTCACGATTGTTCACCCCGAACCACGCAATTGGATCAAGTGGGCTCGGTTTGAAGAGGAGTATGGAACGAGCGATCTCGTGCGGGAGGTGTATGGAATGGCGATCGAGACGTTGGGAGAGGACTTTATGGACGAGAAGCTGTTCATCGGCTATGCCAAGTTCGAGGCGAAGTTGAAGGAGTATGAGCGTGCTAGGGCGATTTACAAGTATGCTTTAGATCGACTTCCTCGCTCAAAGTCCATGGCGCTTCACAAGTCCTATACGACATTTGAGAAACAGTATGGTGACCGGGAAGGCGTTGAGGACGTGATTCTTTCGAAACGCAGAGTCCAATACGAGGAGCAACTGAAAGAAAACTCGCGGAACTACGACATATGGTTCGACTTTGCCCGGCTTGAGGAGACCTCGGGCGACCCCGACCGAGTACGCGACATCTACGAACGCGCGATCGCTCAAATACCACCATCGCAGGAGAAGCGGCATTGGAGACGGTATATCTACCTCTGGATATTCTACGCCATCTGGGAGGAACTGGAAGCTAAGGACGCCGAGCGTGCGCGCCAAATCTACAACGAGTGTCTCAAGTTGATTCCCCACAAAAAGTTCACCTTTGCCAAGATCTGGCTCATGAAGGCGCAGTTTGAGATCCGTCAGATGAATCTCCAAGCCGCTCGCAAGACGCTTGGCCAGGCCATCGGCATGTGCCCGAAGGATAAACTCTTCCGGGGATACATTGATCTAGAGCGCCAGCTGTTCGAGTTCGTGCGGTGCCGGACGCTGTTCGAAAAGCAGATCGAGTGGAATCCTTCCAACAGCCAGTCGTGGATCAAGTATGCCGAGTTGGAGCGCGGGCTGGACGACACCGACCGTGCACGAGCCATTTACGAGCTTGGGATTGACCAACCAACTCTCGATATGCCCGAGTTGGTGTGGAAGTCGTACATCGACTTTGAGGAGTACGAGGGCGAATACGACCGGGTCCGCCAGCTGTACGAGCGTCTGCTGGAGAAGACAGACCACGTCAAGGTGTGGATTAACTACGCCCGCTTTGAGATCAATGTTCCCGACGAGGAGGAAGAGGAAGAGGAGGAGGAAGAGGAGCGGCCGATCAGCGAGGATGCCAAGCGTCGTGCTCGGGCCGTTTTCGAACGAGCCCACAAAGTGTTCAAGGAGAAGGAGCTCAAGGAAGAGGTAAGCTGTCGTCAACGTTCCTTTTCTGACATATCCCTGACTGATCATGACACAGCGCGTGGAACTGCTCAATGCTTGGCGGTCGTTCGAGCACACGCACGGTTCACCAGAAGACATCGACAAGATCGAGAAGCAGATGCCCCGGCGAGTCAAGAAGCGGCGCAAGTTGGACGACGACCGGTACGAGGAGTACATGGACTACGTATTCCCGGCGGACGACCAGTCAGCGGCAAATCTGTCGAAGCTGTTGCAAAGAGCTCACCAATGGAAGCAGCAACAGCAACAACAAGGGGATGGAGCTTAGATCGATGTACCAGGGTAGTTCTAGACATAGCTGGGGAGTTAATGGCATCACGAGATGTATCATGTCAGTAGTGATTGCTTTTTCATCTGGTTACACGTGCGATTGCCAATTTTGTGTAGCACTAATCCATCCTCTGGCACTCTGTGGACTCCGTCTGTCTACGAGTGACGCTATACAGTGCAGTACTCGATAGTCAGTCACATAGTCACACGTGATCTGGATGCTCGTGTATTGAACCACTATCAAACAACTTCCTTCTACACATCATAAAGAGCAAAGTTTCAACATGAACAAGGGACGATGGCGCATCTGGGAGCGCGTCAGACTGAAGATCTGGAGGTGGCCGGTTCAAGCCCGGCTCGTCCCATTCTTCTTTTTTTCCCCTTCGCTTCCTAATCCTACAGTTAGGATAGACAGTAAACTGGATTAAGAACGCAGTTCATATTTCTAGATAGACTTGAATACAAAAATCTCCGCGAAGAAATATCAGATAAGGAAGCAGAATGCGCAACGCTCTTCATACAGTCCCTGAACTCTTAGGAACCCTCATTTGGTAGTCTTTCTGTTTGCCCAACGCCCTCTCTTCTTCGCTTCAACTTTCTCTCCCGATGGTCCGTCTTCTGTCCCTTCTACCTGCTGGACTACCTTCGTTCTTGTTGTTCCCCTTGTTCTTCGAGCTCGTTTGGGAGCTGAGATCTCTGGCTCTTTTTCGCCTTTTTCTTCATTCTCCTGCTCAATTGCCATCGTTCTTGTCGTTTCCCTTGTCCTTCGAGCGCGCTTGGGAGATGGGCTCTCTGGCTCTCCTTCGCCCCTTTCTTCATTCTCCTGCTCAATTGCCATCGTTCTTGTCGTTTCCCTTGTCCTTCGAGCGCGCTTGGGAGATGGGCTCTCTGGCTCTCCTTCGCCCCTTTCTTCATTCTCCTGCTCAATTGCCATCGTTCTTGTCGTTTCCCTTGTCCTTCGAGCTCGCTTGGGAGCTGAGATCTCTGGCTCTTCTTCGCCTTTTGCCTCAATCTCCTGCTTCACAGGGGCGTTCTTCTTTCCCTGTATCCTTGACTCATTCTTTTTATCTTCCTCTGCTCTCTGTTGCTCCTCACATCCCTCCATTTCTCTTGTCTCTCTCTCCAGTATAGCCCTATCTTGCGCCTTTTCCTCTTCTTCCCTTCCGTACGTCTCGGCGTCCTTAACACTCTGTTCCTTTAGCCGCTTTTCCCACACCTCTTTTGTGCACTGGGCATCCTCAATCACGGCCGCAGCTTGGGTCCATTCTTCCAGTTGACCGTCCGGGAACGCTCCTCTAATGCGCGACACTGCCGGTTGCAAGATAAACAGAATGCGATGACCGTCCAGTCTGGGTTCATCTGGTCGGATACTATGACGGTAGTCTGCGGTTACCCACGGCTCCCCTCTCTGGAACAAGGGAGAGGCCAGCCGTGTAAGGTTTCGATATGTGCAGGTCCCATGAGAACAGCTGAGATCGATTGCCAACCGCTCAGCTCTCTCGTAGTATTTGATTAGCGTTGCCTCCCTATCGACGGTGTCTTTAGATTTTCTAAGGAGCATCCGGAATGGCGGGTGCTTGAGCATAGCGGAAGCAAATGATCGAGCAGATTCCTCGCGTCGGCACTTCGTATGGCGGCCTAGTTCGGTGTTATCGGCCTGGTTACCATTAACGGAGTTCGCAAGTCGGACGGTCTCGGTCTTCCAGAGACTTGCTGATTTTGGATTGACTTTATGGTATCAAGTCAATACAAGTACGAATGGATTGCTGAACTTGGATATGGGAATGGATTGGTAATCTCACCGGTAAGAAATTGCTGATATACATGCTGCAAATGCTCTGCTAGGGACAGACAACTCTTTCTTGGAACTTCTGTGTCATCAAAGTCAGGCTTTCCTTCGAAGTACCAAAACGGATTCTCGAAGAACTTGTCCACGATGTCCTTCACGAGCATTGTCTGGGCGAGGGCACGAGGAACCACTTCACAGGTCGGATAAGGCAGGGACTCTATAAAGGTATCCCAGTCCAAATCCTGTACGCAGTAGCCTTCCAGGCTCTGAAGAATGGTTTGTTTCTCACTGGCAGAAAATTCTGCCAGAGCAGCTGTTTCCATCTCCACCCACTGATCAGCCCATAACTTGGCCCTATAGAAGAGCTTCTTAAACTCCTGGTCATATTCGATCGGGATTGCTTCCCACCCATGTATGTCTGAGCCTGCAGTCCACCATTGTTTCCTGTACAACTTCCTGAAGTCATCTAGTTCTTCCTGGAGATGAGCAATCCTTTCCTGGAGTTCTCGGATAGTTTCGTTCTCCCCTGGCGCCTCCTCGACTGAAACAGGGTCCATGTCTTCGTGGACAGTATGCAACGAGGTGTTCTAGATGGATGAGCATGATTGGTTAGGGGTCGGTTCGCTAATTCAAAAACCATGATTGTTGTGCTTACTCTGGTTTTCTTTCCTTTTCCCATGTTGGCACGAAGATAACTTCCGATCTTGAAGGGGTTGGTATGCCTGGGCTGGGTGATAAGAGCGATGACAAGTCGATACGAAGAGAGAAAGGGACTGCCTGAAATTTATCAGAGCAAGACTGGGCAATGAAAGAGTCTGTCTCATTGACAGCCTCGTTGTCCGCGATGGGGCAAACAGGGCTTCTTTGTCCGTTATCCGTTGACTTCTCAACTTTCCGTCCTCCTCTTCGGACCTGTCAGTCGTGCAAGCGCTTCTAAATAAACTGTACGAGTGTGCCGGCCTATGATATATCTTGCTGTTTTGTCAGCGAGGCGAAACCTTCCGAGACAACGGAACCTACTCAGGCCTATCAGCTTGCCGACTGCCAGAGCATCAGCGGTGGGGTTCCGAGATGCCTTGGCCATGATTCCCATCGAGAATGGGAAGTTGCACCCAGATTTGAGAGATTTAAAAGGGGTAGACGGACGGTGACTGATTTCCCCAGACATTGATATAGTCTCGTCGCTGTCTCTTCTGTCGATGAATTTTACCACCTTTGACTCCCCTTTTCTGCGCTGCAACCACCTACGATTCAATCACTTCACCCCCCGTCTTCTGTTTCCTCCGTAACATTCACAACAAGTTAATAGACATATTTCACCCCAATCGCAATGGCACCTCGTACTTCAAAAATGGTCGTGGCAATCGACTTTGGGATGACATTTACCAGTGAGTGCTGGCTCTCAAGCTGGAGGCTTTGTGCAGGCACTTACTCCATCAGGTGTTGCTTCAGCCCATTCTGAAGTAGGACAAGACGCCTTTACCTTCGAAATCATACACAACTGGCCGGGATTGACTACGCCTACAAGCAGGCTTCCTTCTGTCTTAAGCTACCCGGAAGGCAATTATCAGTGGGGGTCACTTGCCTACGCGTTTAAGCCAACATATGCTTGGTTCAAGCAACTGCTGGATCGCCAGACCCCATACAATGAGTTCCGAGATGCTAATTTTGAGAGGGTTACAAATCAAACCCTAGTAGAGCCAGCGCCGGGTAAGGAACCTGAGCAAATGGTCGCAGACTTCCTCCGAGGAGTATGTCTCTTCCTGATGGAATATCTGAGCCTTCTTTTGACCCCTGCGACGACTTTACATTTTTGGTTCTCCACCCCAGTTGTCTGGGGAGATGCTGCCCGCATGGCCATGCGAGAGGCTGTCCACCTTTCAGGGATCGGTTCACATTTTCCAGGAAGTGTTAACTTCACCTCTGAGTCTGAATCGGCCGCCCGATACATAGTTGAACGCGAAGGTGATAGATTTCAGGTGAGTGGAGTATTGAGAGGGGTTCAAGGTGATTGAGCCTGCTGACGATAGGACTATGACACAATAGACTGGGGATGTCTTCTGTATATGTGACGTGGGAGGCTATACTATTGTGAGTGCCTTTTGATCAGATACTCAAGTCAGTTCTCTGACAATCAGCTAGGACTCGGCAAGCTACCGTGTATTCTCGCGTGAACCAGTCTTGCGGCTCACTCAACTAACCGAATCCCGCGGTATGCCGTCATAGCCCTATATCGTGGCAGTTACTTCATTCTACTAACACCTTAACAGGCCTGAGATGCGGGGCGATGACTGTGGAGATGCGTTTTCTAGATCTGATGATCGACCGGTTTGACAAGGCTTTTGAGATAGCATTCCATAGAGAAGGTGCTATGGCGAGTTCATTTATGGTAAAATTCGTCGAGCTCAAAGAAAGGTACAATGGCACCGACTTGGAGTGGAGGCTGGAATTAAAATTGGATGTCATCCACTCGAGGTTTTATGACACCCGAACAAGCGAAATCCTTCTCACGCCCGATGATCTGGTGTACATCTTTCAGGCAGTCATCGACAACTCCATACGCTTAATGGGAGCTCAACTAAACGAGGCTGACAGAGAGAGCTACAGACATGGAGGCTGTGGAGTGAAATATGTGTGTGTCACTGGCGGATTCGCCAACTCACCGTACGCGAGAATCCGATACGATGAGTTTGCCAAAGAACGAGACGTCGAGCTGATCATCCCTGACCACCCAGCCATTGCCACTGCCTCTGGCTTGGCTCTCCTGGGCGTCCACAACGTTGCCTACATCAAAAAGGAATGCGCCCGCACTTATGGACTTTATCACCCAGACCTCATGCTGACCACTGGAGACAATGTGGAGCGACCTATTATTAGGCGGGTTGACATGATGCAAAGGACACCCCCCAAAATAACCTGGCTCTTTTACAAGGATGTATCTTACGAGGAAAACTTTCTCTACTCCCGTCGCTTTGAGCTTCTGAACGCAGTTGACACGACTATGATCAAGACAGTCACCGTTTATGCGATTGATAAATCCGATCCAGAAGACAAGCGCAATATGATCCACCCTGACGACCTAGAAAGGCCGGCCCATGTCGACATCAATCTGTCAGACATCCAGCTCGACCACCACCCTCGAGTAGTAAGAAACGGAAAAACTTGGTACCAGGTCCTCATCGACGTAAACGCCATCCTCTGCCTCAAGAAGGGGGAATTGAACATTGAAGTTTCGGCGAATGGAACTATTTGTGGACATTGCCAGGTCCTTACCGCCTGGGGATAAGTTGCACAAGATGTCGCTGCCCGGTCTAGCTACCTAGCTAGCTAGCTGAATGGTTGGGTCTTCAACAAGTCATGGATGAACAAACGCTGCACCCGGTTCGTTCAGCTTCGGTAAACCGCTTTTCTGTAACGTATTTCGGATTCCGTTTGTTGCCTATTTCGCGATTTCTTTCTTCATTTTCTAAATTCTAATTTGCCATCTTCTTTCATTTCTTTCTTCACTCACATTCTTTCTTTTTATTTATTTCATTCTAAATATATTTCCTTTCCCCCCAGGGGTTTTTTTTTTTTTTTTTTTTTTTTTTTCCTTTTCTGGTATCTATTGAATGGACGGCGAGACTGTTTTTGGCGGATATTTCTTTCTTTGAGTAAATCATCGGTTCAGTCAGAACCCAGTATGGAGTAACCCAAATTGTTATCTGAGTCCTGAAATCAACATGCTTCGCTTTAATTACGTCCTTCTTTATCAATAAGTCGCTACGAACATTTCTCTATCCCCATGTTATCGGGGACTGTTGTCAAAGGGTGAATGAACCGACTGGTAAACATCCACATCAGCATACTGGGTGGCGGAGGCAATGCTTAGAGAGAGTCCTTGGGACAAAGAATGAGAACGACGGGACCAACTCATCTCAGACAATGCCCACTAAAGCCTACCCTCATAAAGAAACGTCGACTCTCAGTCTCACTAAAAATTCTTATCGGTGTGCGTGCCTGTTGTACCGCAGCTTATTTCGTAAATTTTGAATTGTTCATTTTTTTTCTCTCATTTTTTCTTCAGGCTATCATCATTTCTATCGAAGTTACAGCAGTGCTAATAGTTTCATTATTACTGTCATCATCTATAACAGCTCCCAATCGTTAAATCGTTACTCTGCTGGTTTCAATGTGACGCAGTCGTTTCCCTCTCGAGTCTGCGCTGATAAGCAGGATTTTCCTCCAAAATTTCTAATGACGTATCAAAAGATTCTTACTGTACATATATAATTATTAATTTTTCTAGCCATCGCGAGAAGTTAAAGACAATCTTCGATATGAGTATCATTACATTTGACCTTGTTGGCCATACAAACACTAATTTGATTTGCCACAAGATGCACATGTTGAAAGCAGCAACAGGGAAGATAGTAATAGTAATAACAATAATAGTAAAAATAGGAAGAATACCATTACGGAGCTAATGTAATTGCCACAAGTCCAAGTTCAGAAATCACACTTGTTGTTAGTGGTAGTAGTGCTCTCGGCAGGTAACCGGACATCTTTGACAGGGTGAAGGAGGGTCGAGGGGACGCCGCAAACCCTGTCTTTGTCGGGCTTCATCCAATATTCGTCACATCGAACGTTAATAGCTACCTTTGATGTAGAGTTTAATAAAGGAGAAGGTGGTGGGGGGGAGGCGGCTGTGTAGTGTTCTAGACAAACAGCAGATCCATTTACCACCTCCCATATAACCTGTCCCCCTCAAATCACAGCGCGAGCATAAGTACTAGTAGTACGAAAGACCCCGAAACCTTATTTCATTGGACCTGTAAGAACGGGATATTCGGAGACTTGTCACTCCGAGCATTAAACTCCGGCATTGAAACCAATCCATACTCAAACTCTCCGGCGGCACCTCCTCGGAAACATTTCTCTCGGATGGATATGTTGGATGAGATAATTACTTTGAAGATTTTGAAGATAGAGGCTAAAACTGGAAATCTCCTACTGTCTGTTGTGGGAGGCTCGTTTATCACTGATTATATCATTTACTTTATAATAATTCGTCCCCTGTGGATTTGTGGATAAAAGTGGTATTGCGTAGTTGCTCTAGGGCAGGACAACGGCTCTGATTCGGGCTTCTTAGGCATTTGTGTATAACCGAGCAGCATTGCGCTAGAGACACCGAATTTATCGATCTCGTTGTTAAATTCCATTTTATTTTACTACTTGCGTGAGATAGATTGATAACGAATGACTTGAAAATTGCTTTGCCGTAGAAAGAGAAGCAAAGTTCCTAATGAGAATGGTTTGTAGTGAATAGGGGTGATGAGGCGAGGAATATACAGAAATAACGAATCACTGCATTATAACATTCGACAGTCTGGGGCAATTACAGACAAAACGATATATAACAAATGATACTACAGACACAGTCCTGAACTTATCTCCCTTACTTATTCTTCTTCCGTCTCAATCTCTTCAAGGGTTTTTGCAGAAGGCTTTGGTCGCTCTCGCTCATGATCTTCCTCGGTGTAGTCACCATGTTCCACCAATAGCTCGGCTTTAATCAAGACGTTTTCGTCACACCTCAGAGTCCTTAGCTTTAGTATTACAGCCGGCTGGGTTATACCTAGGATGCGACGGCCAGCCAATCTGGCATCGTCAGCATTACCCCGGACATTATGGAGGTTATGGAATGTCGCTTCGTGGGATCTCGGATCAAAGGTGGTTCCCATAGTCGGCAGTGTCTTATACACACAATGTCCCTGATTGGAGCCGAGGGTAATTGCTGTCTCATCAGCAAATTTGCATAACTCCAGAAGACTGTCCTCTCGCTTCGTCGCTTCGTCGCAATCCACACTTTTTAATAGCCTCTGGAGAAAGACGTCGGAAAGTAGGGTGGAGGCGAACAAAGCGACAGCGTTTGTGCGATATTCCTTTGTCTGCCGACCGAGCTCGAGATTGGGTGCTTGGACTACCTTGACCGAATTTAACAGACGGACAGTTTCTTTCTTCCAAATGGTGGCTCTGATGCCATTTGCTGCAGTCCTGGTCAGCATCAGATGAGGATGATAGAAGGATGCGGAAGAGAAGTTCCCACTTTCTAAAAATCGTCGGTACAGATGTTGCAGATTCTGTGCACAGGAGACTGAACCCGTCGTATGATCCTGCCGATCGAGACCTTCTCCTTCAAGGTACCAAAATGGGTTGACAAAGAACTTATCCACGATTTTCTTTGTCAAGATGCTCTGAGCGAGCACCTCCGACATATACAGAGAGAAAGGGTAGGGAAGAGACTTCATCAGTGTATCCCATTCCAAATCTTGGACCCAATAGCCTTCTAGGCTATGAATGATGGCTTGCTTTTCCAAGTCATCCAGTTCAACGGTATCAGGCATACCTTGCCGGGCATGTTGTTGGCACCAATGTTCTATGCGATACATAACCCGGCGGATGTGGTCCCCCAAGACCTCGAAATCATAATCTGGCCAGCCCGTGGCCCCGGCAGTAAGCATCTGCATTTGCAACTTGAAGTCGAGCGAAGCTTTTCCCTGAAGAATCTCCAGTTTGTCCCGGAGAAAGGCAACTTCGGCCTTGAGGGCTTCGACGTCCTCAATCTGGGGTGAGCTTTCGTCTTCTGAAGCATGACGGTCGGAATTACGGTCGGTATTGGCGGGGGAGGATGCCTCCTATAAGAAAGAAGTTTAATCAGCGTGTGCCCAATGTCTGCATACTAGAATTTACAAGAGGGTCTTTGAGTCTGAGCCCGAGAGGATACTTACCTGAGAAGTCTTATCCATGTCGGCGGTTCGGAGCTCTGCAGAGAGGCAAAGCTGAGGAAGACAGGTAACTGAGAAGTAGACGATGAAATTAGAGAAAGACCAAGGGGCAATGAAGAAGTAATTGTAACGTGGGGAGACGATGAGAGGGCATTAGAGAAACCAGGAATTGGAAAGAGGTCCAGTGGCTTTGTTCCCCGTTCTTCCCCTTGACAACCAACACGCAAGATGGAGCATCTAGACCTTCAAAGGTGTAACTCAATTCTCTCCCATTCTCTCTATTACCCCCCTCGTCCTCCTGATACCTTCTACCCTGAGACAGCCGAGTGAGAACAGGCCTATCAGGTATGGGAGGTCTCCAGACTAGTGATCAGCCAGCCTCGTATCTGCCGGGACGGCCAGTTTTCCCTCCGAGACAATTGCCTGCCCTCTTCAGAGAGCTAGCAGACGGTTTAAGTGTTGGGCAGCATGGGACACATGAAAGGGCAATACAGTCTATCTCTGCTTTCTCCTCCTTTCCCCCCCTCTTGGATGCTTTTGAGTGTCAGCGATATCTCCACTTCCACACCCCAACCCCAGCCCCCAGTTCAGAATTGCCATTTTCAAGTCCCCTTATCATACGAGTGTTCGTTACAGTCAATATACAAAGGTCTACAAGTGAGCCCTAAGTTGAGCCAGTAACAATATGTCACAGGCCAAGTCAAAATTAGTCTGTGGTATTGACTACGGCACGACGGGTACCGGTGAGTTGACGGTTCCCAAGCTTTTATACATCATGCATGAGGCTAACCGTACCTAAGCCGCTGCTTGGGGCTATGGTACTGACGAGCAAAGCATAGATTCACCCATCTATCAAGTGGATGAATGGCCAGTTTAATCCCGGGCCAAACTGCCATCGACAATGCAGTACCCAAGTGGCATGCAACCTCGATGGGGAGTAGAGGCTACACCTGAGCTCGAAACTTTCAGGTGGATCAAACTCCTGTTAGACCCAGACTTGGAGTCAACAGATTTCCGGGACGAGGAATTGGAGAGGGTTTCGGGACAACGAATCATGCGGCTGCCAGCCGGAAAGTCGGCCGTGCGTGTCGTTGCCGACTACCTCAGCGGGATCCGTAACCACCTGGAGCAGTCGTACATTTTTAGTCAACCAAACATCAAAAAGGCGTACTGGTTTTCCATTCCGGCGGGCTGGTCCAACGATGCCCAAGTGCGGATGAGTGAGGCTATCCACTTGGCCGGGTTTGGTCAAAAACCGAATGAGGAAGTTTGCCTTGTTACTGAAAGCGAGGCGTCCGCGATATCCATCCTAGGGGCATCTGGGGAACGAAGAAAGGTTCGTACGTGTGCCTACTTGACCTCAGGGAATATTTCTGGCAAATGAAAGATTGTGCCAATAGTCCGGAAGCACATTTTGCGTGTGCGATGTGGGCGGGGGCACGGTTGTGAGTAGAATATGCGCGATTGTTCAACGTTTCAAATCCTGACAAGAAGCTAGGACATCGCCTGCTATATGATCACGGATGTAACTGCAACATCGTATTCACTCACCGAACTGAGCAGTGCCATAGGTAAGGATGTTCTTTCACTGGTTTGTATACAAACGAAGAGCTAATGCATCCACCATAGGCCCCAAGTCTGGGAGTACCATCATTGACAGAGAGTTCTTGAAGCTCATGAGGCATCGCTTCAACGCCTCCTTCATAAATCCGTTCAACGACGACAATTCTGATCGCAGAGAAAGACTCATGAACGAATTCAAAAAAAGAAAGGAAGAGTTCACTGGAGATGGAAGTAACCATCGTCTTAGATTCCGGATGGAATGCTTTACGTCGCAATGGTATGACTCAACGGCAGGTCATATAATCTTGTCCGACAGCGATATGCGGGCATTTTTTGACACCGTTGTCGGCCAAGTCTTCCATCATGTGAACGAACAGGTGGACAAAGCCACTCGTGGTCACTTCAAGATCGATGTACGTTCAGGTTCTGAGTAATCCCCTTGATTCTAAGCTAATTGACCTGCAGGAGTTGTTGATGACTGGGGGGCTGATGCGCTCTAAATTTGCGCGGGAGGCATTTTCGGAGGGGTTCAAAGATGCAGGATTTTCCAGGATTTTCCAGGATCTTGTTTTCCGAAGCACCGTGAGTTTCAGAGGTTTTGAGGCGTGCTACATGCTGATCCAAAGGCAGTGAACTATCTGCATCACTCGGTGCTGCGCGAAAGGGCCTGAGCGGCATCGTCACGAAGAACCAGACATGTAACAAGAGTTACTTCATCGAATGCTCAGGATTACGGGAGGAACCCGGAATATGTCTGCAAGCTTTCATTGATGAGCTCGATGCTCCCGCTAAGCCCCAACAGATTTTGGTCAAGGTAAGTTGTTGGAGAAGAGAGAGAGAGAGAACATTCTTCTCATTTGCCTTCTCGGTAATGAGGTGCTCTTTGCTAACTCCTCGCAAGGGCCATGTCTACGAGGAAGATAGACCCTACAAGACTGTATTCCATCTTTATAGTCGCCCGGGGGAGCCCCCTGTCAAAACGTTCTTTCTGAAGATGAGCGATGGCCAAAGTAAGCTGTGTCCCGCCATGTTAACAATAACAGCACTGACTCTGGCGCAACGAAACTGCAGATTCGCGCGTACTGGCCCGGTTGACCTGCAATTTGTCTGACATACCCGCCGACGAACGCGCCCTACAACCTGCTGCTGCAGGCGGTGTATACTCGCATCAATGCATCTCTGTGACTGCGACATTTCGTGTGAAGGGGTACCTGGAAATCAAAGTGCATACTAAATGTAAGGTGTTGGCCCAAAAAATGGTTCCTAGAATATGGAGTGAGCGTGCGGGTAATTGAAAGGGTGAGTCTCTCTCGTGCGATTTGCGGACTGTTATGCGATGAGTGGTAAGTATGTGTTTCAAAACGTCCCATATAGATTGGTATCTGCTGGAGTTGTCTTGTTCTGTTCTTTTCTTCTCTCCCATACGACTACTATCTGTTTCTATATCTCCCTAATGTTTAATCTCTTTACTAGCAATAATCCGAGGCTTTTTTTTTTTTTTTCTTTCCCCTTCACTCTATTTTGGACTCTCTCTCTCTCTCTCTCTCTCTCTCTCTCTCTACTCTAATATATAAACCTCTTTTCGGGCCTATTGTTTTCTCTCTCCTACTACTGTACTTAGATTGCCAACATAGATCATTTTCGTCTGCAAAGCTAGTACTATATATTATGCCAGTGCTTTGATTGAAGTCGAAGTCGCGATGGTAAGTAGTAGCAACTACAACTACTAAGTCGCGGTACTATTCCTAGTAGTACTTCTGTGCTCCTTCAACAACTGGTCTAGACAATCTTACTTAGAATTCCCATGACTAGTAGTTATATAACAGTAATAATTGACCGACATTGTTATAGATTCGTTGTCGTGGTCGTTCTCATCTCGATTGGTAGTTATCTAGTCCTTAATTGGTTTAGTCAAGTATTTAGTTAACTAAATTAGTTATGATGGGAGGGGGATTACGTCAGTCCCGGCATGGTTTTAAGTGCCTGAGGCTCGCAGAGCTATCCACCAATCAGCAATGTGATGCATTTCCAGTGGGGCCGATGAAACGGCCACGAGTCATGTGAGAATTTAGGATGACACAAACTAGATACTTATCTACATGGTGGTCCGGCCTATAAATAGATGGGACTGATGATGTAGGAGAGATGTTCGGCAAGGTCAGATGTGGAAATTGGTATTTCCTCTCGCGACGGGAATTTTCTCCGTCAGCAGTAAATACTCAAGTACATTATGTAGCAGTAAAAATAATAACTGTTGTGTACCTGCATATCCAATGCTGGCGGGTGTGCCTGACTAGTCCCGCCAGAACCAATAATCGGGCAGTTGATCCCGGTCGGGCGCACGAGGGATGATAATGATAATGATAATGATAATGTATCATCATCAACAACCATTAACTATATCATGACCTCCCTGGGTTATGATTCCTTCATTAGGGATGTTGCTGACTGGTTTCATCTCCCCGAACTATTTGGATACTACGTAGTAGTATTTACTATTTATCTACCCCAAGGATACTAATTATGGGGTCAGCACAAATTATTACTGTGGAGACTCACCGTTTAATTGCTTTTCTCCCTTTCGCACGTTCTGTCGGACATAATCTTTATTAAATATACTCCCGAGCAAGGCAGCACCATTTCTTTTGGCCCGATGCGATCGTGGGAAGGTTCGGGAACTTTTTTCTTCCTGCTTCCTTTCTTTCCTCTCCCTCTCTGATCATCATCATCATCATCAACATCATCACCATCAGTCAACCTTGAGTACCATGGATGCAAGACCCAAGGGTCCAATTCCCACGGCAGGATGACATTGGGGGCCCAAGGAAGGGGGAGGGGGTCACTTGGTGCAACCTGCATGACCTAATTTAGTAACCAGTAAAACAAGTTGACCAACTAATGGTATCTCTTGTTCATGATGAGAAGGAAGATTGATGAGTGTTGGCACGTTCTGAAGTGCCTGCCTGCCTGCAGTGACAAGGGAGGTTGGGGGGGGAGGAGGAAAGAAGTTTCTTGACCAGCCTTGCAGCTTCATGCAGGTACATTCCCTTTCACTTCTGTCTGTCCCTTCCCTCCTCGGTCGCGCGACTCATGTCAAACAGATGATGGTTTCGCGTAGAATTCGGGAGTAAAAGCACAAGAAGAGTCGTAGTCTAGCTATCACAATCGGTCACTTGTTGATTTATTGGAAGAAATTCAATGGTCGTCAGCACAGATATTAATTAGATGGTATAGTGTACTAACTAAATAACTAACGTGGTGGTGGTCGCTCCTTCCCAATTCTTCCCATCGCCGCCTCCTCCTTTTTCGCTCCTTCCATTCTCTACTCTCATCACTCTCACTCTCACTCTCTCCCTTCCTTCTTCTTCCTCCCTTCCCCTCCTCCTCCTCCTCCTTCTTTCTTATCCAAAACGTGCTGTGCACTATTGTTTCCCTCTACTGCTTCGTTTTACGTTCGTTCTCTTTTTGTTGTTGTATCCTTCCCCCCCTCGGTTCACTGAACTCTCCACCAGGGGAGAAAAAAAGGGTGAGTTTCTCGGCTGCCCTTCCTAGTGCTGGTCTAAGCTGCCCGCCGGCGTTTCACCCTCCACCCCCAATCCAAATCCCTCCTCGCCCTCTCTCTCTCCTGATGCTCTCGTCCCTCCTTCTCCCATCCCATCCCATCCCCTCCGTTCGCTGGCTTTTCGCTTCCTTCTCTGCCTGACTCGGTCTGGCTTTTGCCCTCCTTCCTCGCCCTTCTCTTTCCTTTCCTTCTTTTGCACGTTTGCTGCCGATTTGATATCGTGCACTCCGTCCATCGCTTTCTCTTCGCAAACACCCCCCTAAAGCCTAACCTTCCCAATTGACACGCTCTTTGCCAGGTCGTCGTTCGTTTTTCACCCACTCAACGTTTAGCCCCATCTTTCCCAAGCAGATCGATCTTCTGGATTTCCATATCTATCATCGCCTCTCTGTGCTCTACCGCGACGATTTCCTTCAGATATCGCCCTCTCTCGCTCGCTTTCGAATCATACGTTTCCCAATCACAGCTCCGATCCGCGATCATCGCCTACCCTCTCTGCACCTGAGAACACGACCCTCTACCGTGTCGATCATGCGATAGTGCTCCGGCAGTCATTCTTCATCCTTTCTCCGTCCTGACGCCTGCGTGCTGAACCCCTCGGACGGCTGGTTGTTTCCTGATCGTCTTCGGCTGGTACATTCGAAGAACTTTTCCTTTTCGCCCTTCTCCCACACATTCGACATGCTTGTTCCGAAACCTCTTGTGGATCTGGAGGGTCACTGCTCCGCCGTATACAACAACACTCTCTACACCTACTCCGCCAATGGCTTCATGTCGATACCCCTCGAGCGCAATGGAAATTGGACCTCATTGACCATGGGTGAGGCCGTCTCAGACGCAGCGTGTGTGATAGGTGGCACAGACGGCGATGAGACCAAGCAATCTCTCTATGTCATTGGCGGATCCGGCTCCTCAAGTCAGCCGGGCTTGCAGCGATACTCCTTTAAAGACACGACGTGGACCACCATTCAACCCCCGCAATCGGTCATGGGGAACCGTACTCACCACAAGGCCGTCTACCTGTCGAATTCTTCCTCCATTCTGGTCTATGGTGGCCACCAGACCGACGAAACGGTTGCATCTTCTGACACATATGTTCTAAGCACCGTATCGCCATACTCCATTGCGGCCCACAATGCGACGAACGCGTCACCGGCCGTCAACCCTGTTCTGTTGCCATGGAATGATCGCGAGGCAGCGTTGGTCGGCGGTACCACAACCCCGAAGAAAGTGCATCTATTCAACCCGAATGCGGGCTGGTATGGATCCAACGTGACTCTGTCCCAATCGCTGTCCAGTGGCGTGCAGTGCGCGATTCTCGAAGGATCCGACGGAAGCAAGGTGTTGGAGGAATTCGACATGGACGTGGCGCCCAACACGGTCTCAAGCGTGGTGTTGGTGAATTCGTCCGGGAAGGAGCAGAACCCTGCTACCGCCATCAGCTCATCCTCGTCACGCAAACGGAAGAGAGAAATTACCCTCAGCAGTTACCCGACATATGATAGTAGCCTAGCACAGTCCACAACACGGCAGAACTACTCCCTAGCTCAAGGGGACGATGGCCTAGTAGTGATCTCTAGTGGCAGTGGTACGGACTCCTTGGCCATCTTCAACCAAACCTCCAACAGCTGGGTGAACGCGACGAAGTTGTTCTACGGTAACGAGAGCCGGCAGCAGATTCTCGGGTCAACCACAACGGCGGCATCTACATCCACAGCAACGTCAACCTCCAGCGCATCCAGCGCCGGCGGCGGCTCATCCAGCAACGATGTCGGAACCATAGTCGGCGCCACCCTGGGAGCGATCCTGGGTGTCGCGGCCATCCTGGTGATCATTCTCCTCCTGATCAAGCGCAAGAAGCAGAACTTGAAGAAAGCTCGAGGCGAAAGTGACAAAGATCGCCTCAGCTTCCAGGACCAGGGTGTGGAGCCATTGGCCCAGTCAGCATACCCCATGGCCAAGAGCCCAGTACCGCTTGCCGCTTCCTCGGTAGACTCGCTTGCAATCTTCTCGGGCAAGGTGGGTGATGAGAAGACCCCAAGGCCGGCTGGTGCCCGCCCTACCTTTGCACAGAATTCGACTCCGCTGAAGTCGAGTCCTCTGACGACCATTCATTCCACCGGAGAACCCTCGTCACCCAGTGTGTACTCGAGTGCTGCCTTTGACAAAGAGATTGAGGCCCAGAGCTCCACCTCGGGGGGTCGACCAGGTGACCGGAGAACCAACGAAGGGTGGAGTCGCTACTTCCAGGACAACAGTGCAACAAGCTTGGTTGGAATGCAATCACAATCTCTCCAGCCCCCGCCATCAGGCGCATCGTCTGCCAAGCCGCAGCCGAAAGGCGCTGCATGGCAAATGAAGACACTCACACCCCTGGATTTTGGATTCTTGGATGAGCCAAAACCTCTAGGACAGGTAATAAGTGGTAGCCCCACAACAGAGCATGCCTCGTCTATAATCTCCTCTGAGGGTCGTCCTGTGGCAATCCAAGAGAGTCAGTCAGCTCGTATTTCTAGCGCCTCGTCGATGAGCGCCGAGCTGGATGGTGACGGGCCCTGGCAACAGCGCAGCTGGGCGGACCGGCCTCCCAGCAGTACCTACAGCAGAAGCTTCTACAACCCCAGCACACATGTGCCTTCAATAGCAGTGCCATCAGAGAGTGACTACCGAACACTCGACCCGTCTCGCACCAACACACGCGGTTCAAGCGTTCTTATACCCGAAGAAGTGGAA